GCACAGGGTACATTCAAGTACTCAATGAGTACAATCCAAACCAACAAAAAAAAGTTAGATTTTTCAAACTTCGATGCCAACTTCACATAGCTACTCTACCCTGCTGTTGCATTTTTGGAGATAAATTTTTATTTGAGCACCTCGGAGATTGAATTTAGACGGACCTGATTTGAGGTGCGTTTGAGGAGTTGGCATATTTCTGCGTCTTGTCACCGTTAATCACGTATAAATTATTTAGGTGACGGAATTGTTTTTGAATTTTTGTACTTACAATAGAACACAGGATTCAGAAGGCACCTGATGACCTGGCACCATGATTTTCAAGTAACCGACGTCCTTCGAGATGAACTCCTGAAAACAATTAAAGAAATTGACTGTTAGATCGACCCCAACCTTGCGGATTAATCCGGTGGTTAATTAATGATTTTAATCAGTGGTCAATGAACCGGTATCGATGAAACCCAATTACAAATATTTTCTCAAACACTCAGAGTTCCTGCTTCCCCGCAGCCCCACACTTTTGTTTATAAAAATGAGGAATAAGTGAGCCGAAGTGACGGATCACACGCTGATAAGATAACTCATGGTGGTTGTGTACAGACTTGAGGTATCTCGATGCTTGTGTCCAACATGTGATTAAATGTGAAGCCACTGGTGAGGTCTTCAACCTCACCAGTATAAAAATCAGAAAATAAATCAATCTCGAAATATTTCGAAATATCTCATTAGAAGATTTCATCTGATTTCTCATCTGATTTCATTAGAATGAAGATTTGGTCTGATTGTGATCTCTCGGGCCTATTGTTTCGAAAAATGAGATTTGCTTGAATGATTCAGGAGCATTGAGGTCTTCATCAAGAATCACTCAGAGCTTTGAATTGTTTTTGAATCTTTCATTTGACTCCACTGAATACATGAGGAAGCGAAAAGTCATAAAAAACTGGTGATAACTCACATTCTTGTTGTAGTACTTGGTGGTGTTGGTCAAATCGATGACAAACTTGAGTTTGGGAAATGTCTCGATGAGTAACGCAGTTGTGCATCTGTAACAACGTAGTGTAAAGTCTCAGTGAAATACAACAACGAATCGAGTGCCTCGTAAATGTATTATTCATATCGTAAAATGAAAAAGCCCCGGGTATTCCTGGTTCAGCGCTATAAAATGAATAGTCGACACGGTGTGATATTTGAGGAATCGTCAGAAATATCTACGTCACGTGCCCACCGATCGTTCTTTACGACAAATAAACAATTTTGAATCAAAATCCTTCAGAATTCGATTCAATTCAACTGTCACACTATCATCACTCTCTCGCGTGGGAGTTTTTGCTATAAAATTATAATGAAAAACTTCATGGGATACTCGGGCTCTTTTCAAGCGTCAATCAACACTCATCAATAAATTAAATTGATATGCATCATCAGAGGCATTAAAAAATTAAAAACTCTTAGTCATCCAATAGAATACTCACTGCTTCGTAGCTGGCACTGATTGGTTCGCCCTCTGCAACAAAAGAAAAAAGAAAGTTGAATGAGAAAATGTAATTCAACATTGTTATCTCATAATTCGTTCCCCATCATGAGTTTCCGAGAAATATTTCCGAATCTAAGAGGGTTATCAAAATTTTTGTCACGACCTTTTTTATAGCTCCCAACGAGCTGAACAAGAAAGGTTATAACAGAAATATTGATATCTGTCTTAAATTCCGGGATATTCACCGAAGATCGCGTCAAAGTTCAGTTTAATCGGCTGGCAGTTTAGCTACTGATTTTAATAATCAATCGTGAACAATAAATCGAGGACGTGTGTATCGAGGATGAGGTCTGCTGTCGAATAATCATGTCTCGAAACGCAGAGTCATCTTCTACTTGTGATAATTAATAGTGTGGTGAGTGGATAACCAGGCAAAAGCCCGATCTGTCCACAGGAACGTGATCGCGGCGTCGAATGATCGATTAGGCTCAACCCCCTGATATCCGATAACAAGACGTGACGAAGGCACCATACCAACATGGAGTCACACCAATGACGACTCATCATCAAAATCCTCTGATCATGACTCCCCCCTCGCCTCCCCCTTGCCACCCCCAAATTAAATTTCCTACATCACCTGAACTCACAAGAAAACCTCAATTTTTCTTCTCTCAACTCAACCACAAAAAATCGTAAATCAATACGAACACTTGGGCAATATTTTCTAAATCCACAAATTCATTAACTAATTCGCAGAGAGAATTATAGTATTGGGTATCGCATTGCGGATCAACGATATTAGAAGGGTAGATAGTGGATTAGGGGTGTATACCGTTGGTCCCGGTTAAATTGAAATTCTCGTTTCTATAAGCAAGATCTTTTGCGCCTTGGCAATAGCCCTGGGTGGGCTAATGATAATAACGGGGTTTGCCATCCACCAGGACTATCCGATTGGCTGGGCGGTGAAGATTCCAATCTCCGAATGAATGCCAGTGTTATGGTTGCACTACGGGTTAAAATGGGCATGCGTTTGGTCGACTTTAATAACCATCCGTTGGAGTAAGTTTGACCTATCGTGCGCCAACGCAATAATTCCCCACAATAAAAAAACCAATAAAAACTGATAAAAACTGAGGCGTGAGACGCATCTAATGCTCACGCGACCCACCACCCTCACTTTCAATCATTTCTCTCCACATTTATTTATTTTCTCTCTGTCGTACTTCTTTTTTTCTTGACCACATGTATAATGCAACTTTGAATTAACATTGAAAAACACCGCCCACTTCATTACCCGGGGTGCTCAGCTTGTATGAGAAATGGTTGTGAAAAAAATCACGATATGAAGAAAAAAAGAGGAAGAAAAAATGAGAAAAAAAAAAGACAAATGCGAGAAATAAAACGAGAGGAAAACGAAGGGGGGAATATCCACTGGGCTGATTTCAACCATTCAATTTCACGACCCTCAGTACGATATACGGTCGGGACTAAATCAGGATTATATAGAAAAACGTTGGGAGCATTGTGCCATCGCCGTCGCACTGTCTGTCCACCCGTGTGTGAGGATGACAGGGTCTCAAACATTTTACTGATACACAACTCCACCATCGAGAGCGATAGAAGAGACGGGGGTTTCAATCGTGAGTTGCCCTCAAGTAGCGATTTTCCAAATTTTTTAATTTTTTCATTTTTTCATTTTTCCAATTTTCCACTTTTCCACTTTTCCACGAAAATCATTGATAAAAATTCAGCGAACGCGCCAGTGAAAGGAATAATGACTTTTAGGGACACTCCCAAATGATTTGACGTGAAAAAATAAAAGCCGCACTGTAAAAAATATTTGTTCGGAATTTATCCAAATAAATCAATCAACAAACTAGTCTCGGATTCCGCTGGGGCGATGGGCCCTGTAGCCCATTGTGTCCGACGAATTGCCCATTAGCGATGGAAGATATCATCTTGCCGGTGAAGCCGTCCAGAGATTCCTCTCTTTATTTTTTATCCTCTGACCCCCTCTTTTTTTTATCGCTGGCCTCCCGGCATTTTGGGAAAGGACCTTGTCGAACTGGAGGTTCCCCTCCATTTTCAATGCACCCTGAGTATATGCCCAGTACTTCTGCAGAACACCGGGGCGGTCCTGGGGGACGTAATAGTAGCGCCAGCCACGGGGGACCCATCGGGCACTCACTGTTTCTTAACATTATTTATGTCCACCCTCTTGTCCCCAGGTCCTCCGAGATATCGTCGATAAATTTTTATTATTAAATGCCAAGAATTTTGGAAAACTTTCCGGGTTTCCGTTGTCTCGCCATTTTTTTTCACGTAAAAATGGAATATATTAATTAATAACAATTAATTAATCGGGTATTATGAAAATGACATTTTGAATTCAACCTATTTTATTCGGCGTCATCGATTTTTTTATGAATTTTCGGGTGAATCCCGGAGGTATTTTATTTCTTTTTAAACATGAATTTGAATTAATTAAAAGCAAAGAAATGGAAAAGCCGAAGAATCTGAGGAATGACCTAGGAGACAGGCGGTCCACTCCTCGGATTATTATTCCCTATACCCCAATTAATAATCTCGATGGGCTGTACTATTCTAAATTTCACTGGTGTCACCATCGCCGAGTGACCCCTATAGGGCCCCTCTCTTTGTCTCAGTCCCCCCCCAGAAAAGCTGTAAACAACGGGCCCCACCGCAGAAGCGGATAAATAATAACGAGGCCACAAAAGCCCCTGTTGCTATAATTCAATTCACACCTAATAACTGGCATCGCTGAATTTCCATATAACAGGCGGTAATAAAATTAAAAATATTTTCTGCTGACCAATTCCACCGCTTCAGGGGGTCCCCGTGAGGATGAACGAGGCACCCCAGGCCCTTCTCTCTCCAAGGCATTTACCATTTCAAGGTACAAAAAGGAAACGTGTGTCTAACCATTTTGAAAAATTAACAGCACCACTTGTTTCTCTCATTAATTCTACCCCCAGTTATTTTTAATTAATCCATCCGATGATTGACCTTTTACCCAAGCACCCGTACAACCTGAGGGACAAGGCATAACGATCCTCAGACGTTCAACGAAATTCATTTTGGGTGTTTCAAGCTGAAGACAAGATTAACGATCGTCAGGTAGATACCGGTACCACTCACGTCGGTACGTTTAAAACAAATGTTTGTTTCTCAGCCATTTTTAGGGATTGCCCTCCTCTGTTCCGGATTATTCTCGGCACAGGCGAAAATTTTTTAACGGCGTTCTCGTCTGTACCTCACGCCCTTTCCTGGCACCGCAAGGAAAATGTATCATTCACACTGGAAACCGTTAACTCACGCCCAATTTTCCGTGAAACCGATAATTCCACCTCGAAGAACTGCTGCACGTGAAAATTTTCATTTTTTCAGTCTTATTTTAATTAACTTTCATCGTTGGATTGTAGATAATTCTTTGGATGGGGACCTACGAAATTTTTGAATACGATTTAACCGAAAAATCACCGCATTACTCATCCCGTTTAGCCGTCCAACTTCCGGTACGATTGACCATGCCGAACCCATTCTGAAAGGCCGTACCAAAAAAATCACCACCACTTTTCCATTATTCCCATGTGTGCACGCCTCTGGTATATTTTCCTGTCCCATCTCTTCCTCTTTTCTTCTATTTCTCCCTGTCCACCCGCTAACCCTAGACGAATGGCCCTAGAACGCGAAAGTAATTGCGCACTGGCCGACAAAAGGGAAAAGGTCAAGCAATAAATTTGACAATTCGTCGTCGACTAGTTTTTACGAAAAAAAAAAGCTACCACCGGTGTGACATTTTTGTAAACAGTCCCAGGGGGAGCAGAAACCGATGAAAACCGCTCCCAGGAATCAACGTAAAGGAACAGATGGGAAGATGGAGAGGAGAGTGAAAGTCCACTGGAGGAAAAACGGGCGGAGAGGCAATGGCACGAGTTGGAAAGAAAAAAAATTGTATTACCGAAGGAGAGAGAGGGGGGGACAGGTGGTTCATATGTGTGCGACATTTTGGTGAAATTTATGTGGCACCGGCACAAAAGCCACCGCCGCAAATGGACCCCTAGGATTTCCAATAATCTACTCGATGTACGAGACAATGCGAATGACCTTCGAATGATTTTTCAAGATGAAAAGAAAATTCTGTGAGCGCTGCGCCACCCTGCGGTGGCGTCTTCGTTCTCAAGTGATCATAAATAGCGATGGGTACGAACAGCTGATCATGAATGAAAAATAAAATTCGAGTGAGTCATAATATTGCTGTGACACGAGAGATCATCAATAAAAATAGGTGGACTGGGGATTATTTCTACCAGCAGCTAGGGGAATTTGTGAAAGCCGCGCGAAAATGAGTTTGAGAGGAACGATCGGTTGACGAGATAACGGGTCTCGAAGAAAAAAGGAAAATCGGCTACCGCGGGGTTTCCTGGAAGGGACTTTTATCAGATCTCTTCGGATGAAAATAGACAAAACTGTCATGTGTCATGCCCGCATGCTCCCAAAGTCCTCAAGGTGTTTGAAGAACACCACAACCATCATCGATGAATGGAAAATAATAAAAGGGTCAAGAGTCGAGTGTCAAATCGAAGATAGGAGAGACGTGCGGCGCCAGGATTGAGGGTTGAGTATTCGATCCTTGGAAAAACAATACAGCGGTGTCGGGATGGGGTACGATAACATCAGTAATATTTTACAAAGTCATCGAAGTAACTCGCCAACTTGAGCATAAATTACGGTGAAACCTCTGGGAATGAAACAAAAGAAAAATCAAATAAAATAATATCCACCTAATGCCGAACGCGTGGGACTTTCCTTTAGGCTTTTCCTTTTCCTTTTTTTTTCCCCGACAGCGGAGAAAGGCGGGGTGAAAATACTTTCGGCTCTGCGGGGCGTTAAACAAACACTTAACATTGCTAATAACACGTATCGCTTGTCCAGCTTCATGGAAAAACAATAAATCGAGTTTCGGCGGGGCGTGGATGACAGCGGGGCATCCAGACTCGAAATTAATATTGAGTCGAGAAAGATGAAGAGGAAATTGAAAGCAATCGAATCGGCATTCCCATAAGATTCGAAGTGAATTTCACTCAAAAGTTATTCCTTGCTGTTACTCGAGTTAATTAATTTTTAATTTGTTAATCAATCAATCAATAAAAAAGCATATCGATTCGGGAAGAAACTAGAGTATAAGGAAGAGAAAACGTAACGTCTCGTAGATTAAAGTTTTAAATTTTTCCCCAGTGTTTGTTGACGTGAAATAACCAAAGTTTGAGTTTCAACTCAATTGTCCAGACCCCTCCGACGTCTAATGCATTGAACGACCCCCAGCCATCGGTGAAAAGACAATGTCCTGATACTGGGACAAAGATCCCCAAGTAAGTTAGCATCAGCCAAGTGTAACTGAGAAGTTTCGAGCGATAATAATCTGAATGTAGGGTGACTGAAAACAGAGATATCACCCACGTAGAAAGACAATCCACGTACCCTTTCGGGGGGGAGGACCCACATCTAGCGTATTCTCTCGGTTTCCACTGTTCAAGCATTAATATTACGAACCGTGCAAAAATGACAGGGAGTTTGGAGACACCTTTTGGGCCCAGGAGACGTCTCTGTTTACCGTGCATATGCACACCCCATGATCGTGGGAGGTATGGACGTTGGAAAAAAAAAAAAAACCAGGCAAATGTCTGAATAATACCCGAAGTCGTCGGGTTATTTAAAAAAAAAAATTCCTACCGACGGCTCATGTAAATTATGCGTCCACGCATCGTTTTTCTTTCTCAATTTTACCCTCATGTTTCATTTTTATTTTTCACTATCGGAAAAGATCATCTGTGATTAGCTTCCTGCTCAGGTGCAGGCGTTCAAACAGAAAATCATCGATCGGCTCCAGCCTCACGAGATTCTGAATTTTTAGTAATTAATTTTGTCAATTAAATGGCTTGAGAAAAAATGTGAGATGAAACTCGAATAAAAATGGAATGGAGTGGAATAAAAAAATTCATGGACATTCCACTGCCTCCTAATTATATTCACCAGGGAATACAATTATTTTTTAAACACCCGAAATGATTGAAACTCGGATAAAAATAAGAAGAAATTGTCAATTTGTCAACTGGAGAATTTAAGATACCCAAAGGACCTTAAAATTCAGGAAATCAGCGGCAAAAGCGTCTTAATTTAATCCACCATCTCCCACCCCGAAGGTTAATTACAAACTGACGTATCATATTTCACCCACAAAGTACTTAAATTGTTAAATGAATTTTACTGGACATTCACAAAAGGCTGAAGATGTTAAAAAAATGTAGTCTTTACCTTCCCGAAGGCGCCGGACAAATCCCCCCATCCGTTTAATTCCCCAGAAATTCACGGATTAAAATTAATTGCCTGATAACACATCGGGGTAATTAAAACCGCGTGGGCGTTAAAGTTGCAGTGGTTTTCTGCAATGGCGCATTCACTTGATTTACACACTTGACTCTGGACCGAGTGGAAATTACGATTGAGGGTAGAGAATTAACAAAAAAAAAAAAATTAAGATCACGTCTGCCCTTTTGCCGTGTATTTATAACAACTACTGGCTCGATGTCCTCAAAGGTATAATTATCCTGGGCTATTAAAAATTCACACAATTCAAAAGGACGATTCGGATCAACAAATCAATGGCAACAAGCAGAACGGCAGATAGTGTAATATAAATATCATAACCGGTGCTTCTATCCTGGACAAATTGATTATTACCATAATCCCACCAAATCCTCTTTTATACGATCAAATAACACGGGATTTAGCAGCAACTCCATCTCATGCCCTCAATACACCGTGAAAATTCGTGAAATAATAAAATAAAATGTAATAATCATTATTCCCAACGCCTACAATTTATTGTACTGTGCAATAATTCACGGCCTCCCTTGGTTTCTTCGATGATTCTCAAATTTTCAATTAGTTGTCATTTTTTTCAAATTTTTCAAATTCGTTAAACGATTTTTCCATGAGAATTTTCCAAGTGTCCACCTCACCACTCACAGACAACCCAGTATGAAATTGATTGAATTTTTTTATCCCGTTGAAATGCGGAGTGAAATTTTTTTTTCATTTTAACAACGAGTACATCGACGGATTTTCAATGCGTTGTTGCGTCTGGTATAACTCGGAGTTCGAGCATAAAAATGTTTTATGCCCCGCGAAACTCGCCACGGCGGTCCCATCAATTAGGACAAACCGTAAATACATGCCAACCACTCGCCACGTAATCAACATATTCAGCATGCCAAATGAAGAAGAGGCGAGAGCAATCATTGGTAGATACCCGTGTCGACATACACAAGGTAAAATTGCCAATTTGCGTATGGGGCTGTGGCTGTTAAATCCAAAGACAGTGCATGACACTCGATGACGACTGAACTTCATTTCCATTGTGAATTCTCCGCCATTATTACCACAACTAATTAATACCCCCATGTCTCTAACGATCTCTCGAGTAGTTTTTAGTCATTAGCGGCTTTTGCCGAGTGAAATTCGAATTAATTTTCTATTGAATTATCGACTTGACGTGGAATCATATCAGAATTATTTTTTCTATAATTGAATTTCCCAGAAAAATTAATTCTCCACGTGTCCGCTTGCAATCAATAGTTTCTTAGATAAATCGATATTCAATAATCGGGAATTGACGGTGGGAGTGGAATAAGTATTCTCGGTATTTAGATAGTCCCAACTAATTACACTATTCATAGTTCTTGATATTTGAAGAACGGATAAGAATGGATAAGAACTTTTAAAATAAGTAACAATTGTTTGCGTTTACATCATAAAACTGACGATGAGATGACGATTGACGTCAATGTTGCGTTGTGTTGCACAAAATATCGAGAAACTTGTGAATATTATTAACTAAAGAGTAAATCTGCGTAAGAGAGTCACCCATCGGAATATTTATATTCGACATTCAGCATTTCATTTCGAAATTTCCTCCTGATTACCAATTATCTAATCAATTATTCACCTGTTTCTCGAAAAAATGGCACGATGTTACGACTCGCGGTGAGGATTCATTGAATTTTAGGGGATAACCGGTGAAATAACTCGGGAGTTGTATATCTTTTCTTTTAAAAGGATTATTTATTTATTTATGACTGCACTCACCGCTCTGAGGGGCACTTTGAACGCCAGAATTTGGGTATTCTCGATGACTCTTCCATACGGCTTATATTGTAGCCATCTGCAATGAAAAGTAGTCAATTGAGAAGCTGAAGGTTTTATTGAGGACTTGAAAAAAATGGAAACGAGAGGAAATAACTGAACTCTTTTATGACCCTAAACGATTCGACATTCTCTTTTCTAAAAAACTCATTCCCTGGAGATCAGCCCGACAATTAATCCGGGGATATCATCTCTGACTTTTATTTATTCACTCTCTCATTCTGGAATAATAAAAAAACAATGTTTCAAAGGGCCAATGAAGAAAGTCCGGGATTTCTGGTGATTGCTCACTCATCTCACGATCTTGAAAGTCATTTTAAGAGAAAGGGTCTGGAACTGAAGGTTATGGAACTGGTGAAAATTCCTGAGTTCCACAACTGATTTTTTTTCGGCTTTGGAATTTAGATTTTTTTCACATTTTTGATTGTTTTATTATTTTTCAGAGGATGACGCGAAGGAGAAATAGCCAGTCAATGTGAAAAATGGTTTTTTGAAAAGTTTCTTTTTTTCCAAAAAATCATAAATCAGGGGCGAGAAGACGGTATTTTTTTTTAATCAACTTTCTTCTCCGGAAGTTTTGATTCAATCCTGTCATTGCCATCTCTCGTCAGACAAGAAAACTACACAATGTTTTTTGTCGAATCGATCTACATAACCTCAATTTCGTTCCAACAACCAAAACCACAATAACCTCTCTTATATTAATAGAATTGACTAAAAAATTATCAACTCACCTATCCGGAAGACCTTTCATCTCAAAATGTCGTAACCAGTAGCTCCGGAGTAAAATTTGTTAGCCAAGAAATTAAAACCGATCCACTTGTCACTTGTCACTCACTTTATCACAATTTAAAGATAAACTGTTGAAGAAATCCACTCGGACATGATTCTCTCATTAAAACTTGTTGAAATGATTAGCCAACACTTTTACTCCACCTCACTATAACCTCTCTTTCACAAAAACTCAAATATATGATGTTCAAATGCTCAAATACGATTCGTCACTAATCTTCAATTTGAATTGATGTGTAATGAAGGGCTTAAGGACTTACTAATGAATAACAAAAAATTATATATACAGACAATATTTATAATACTCTGGGGCTCACTATGCCAGCGTTGTCTGGGAAATTCAACACTTCGCGTCGATATGATACGCTTCTTTTTTATCGACTACTAGTTCAGGCCTGAACCCAACGTTAATTCGGCAGTCGATAAAAGAATGCCAAACAATCAGCGTCACGAAATTGGTATTCAATGAAATTCAAAAATTCGAAATTTTCAAAAATGTATTAGGGGAGCATGAAAATCGAGAAGGTATTCACTGAAATTGAAAAATTGGAAATTTTCAAAAATGTATCAGGGGAGCATGAAAATCGAGGAGGTATTCACTGAAATTGAAAAATTCGAAATTTTCAAAAAAGTATCCGGGAAGCATGAAAATCGAGGAGGTATTCACGGAAATTCGAAAATTCGAAATTTTTGAAAAAATATCAGGGGAGCATGACAACCGAGGAGGTATTCACCGAAATTTGAAAATTCAAAATTTTTGAAAAAATAGCATGAAAATCGAGAAGGTATTCACTGAAATTGAAAAATTGGAAATTTTCAAAAATGTATCAGGGGAGCATGAAAATCGAGAAGGTATTCACTGAAATTGAAAAATTCGAAATTTTCAAAAAAGTATCCGGGAAGCATGAAAATCGAGGAGGTATTCACTGAAAATTGAAAATTAGAAATTTTTCGAAAAGTATCAGGCGAGCATGAAAATCGAGGAGGTATTCACTGAAATTGAAAAATTTTAAATTTTCAGAAAATACAATTCACCTAATCGACTGCTCCCTCTGACAGCAGGACTGCTACTGAGGCAGTTACCGAGTCGCCTGACGGGCAGACACCCCACCATTGGGGGCGGCTCCCTCTTTCTCTTGGGGTGGGGTATTCCCCCGGAACTGAGCCACCCAGTTGGGTTTTGAGTGACCCCACCGACATTGTAGTACCTCACCCCGTGAGTAAGAGGGGGCCGCACCGAATGGTGGGGCGTCTACCCGTCAGTCAGTTCGGTAACTGCCTCAGTAGCAGTCTCGCTGCAGAGGGACTAGGCGGTCAATGTTATTTTCTGCGTTCCAAAACGTTACGTTTTTTTTTTATTATAACACAGTGGCAGCGGCCATGGTACTCAGGCAGTTACCGACTCGGCTAACGCTCTCTCTCTCCTGGGGTGAGGTACTACAATGCTGGTGCGGTCACTCATACCCCCAGGAATCGGTCTTCGCACCGTCGACGAGTTCCATCGAGATGTGGCGCCTCTGGTGAGTAATTTTTTAATTTTTTAGTTTTATTTTGTACTCGGATAAAAAAAGACTCAAATTATTGCTTTTAGGGGGGATTTAAAGGGTAGTTATGGTTAAACCGTATGTGGGGAAGTTATTAAGTGCTGTAGGAACACTTGCTCAATACACATGTATTTCTCATTGTGTATTCGAATATATAGGAGATTTTATTGTGGTGAGTGAAGGTTGAACAGCTGTCAAAAAAAAGAGGTTAGGGTTTTAAACCATCGCGGGTTGGTATCTATTTACATCACACGGTTTCGTTGTCAATCAACTTGGAAAATTACCCAAAAACACCAGAGTCATAGATTATTTTTTTAATCATTTCTCTGACCTTCCCGTGATTGTTTAACGTACCTTCTCTAATAATAATTATTAAAATGCCAATGAATTCGGATTTTTTTAGTGCACGGGACCTTCTATGGAGCCCACAATTTACAGCAATGACATCCTCTTGACTGAACACATCACACCTCGTCTTCTAAAATCAAAAAAAGGTGATATTGTTATAGCTAAATGTCCGTCGAACCCACGTCAGCACATTTGTAAGAGAATTAAAGCTGTGGAGGGTGAGAAGGTCTGCTATGGATTCACCACATACGTAGTAAGTCAACATTTCGAGGAGAATAAATAGTAAATGTCTAGTATAGATTGACACAGCCTCTCCGTCGTCCGAATTTCACTCAAATCGTCTGTGTTTACTCATTTTTGTTTCGCTTATTCAATAAAATCTTGTACCGACCATTGCAGGAGAGCGAAATACACTCTTACATGTACGTATTTTTAACGATTTGATTGAATTCTTGTCTCTGCAGATTCCACAAGGACATATATGGTTAGAAGGTGACAACAGCAGTAACTCAGCGGATTCTAGGCAATATGGACCTGTTCCTCAGGGGCTAGTTCGCGCTCGAGCTATTTGCAAGGTCTGGCCACCCAACGATATCACATTACTCACCACAAAGTGCGTCAATCCCGACTGATTCTTCGTCGAAATTATAAAATATAAAAAAACGAAAATTGTTGGTCATCAAAATGTATATATTACTATAAGTCGTGATAATTATTTTCGTTGAAAATCAATAAAATGTTTATAATTGCACGACTTTCTTTGTGGATTAAAAATCTCCCTCTATTTTTCATTGTTTTTTCAATGGATTGAAGATTCCACTCCTATGTTTGGTCTGGCAATTGAATACAAAAACATTCCGCATTCGAATCATAAGAATTCGAAGAATTCCTTCGACCCGACAGTTTTCCTCGTTCTAGTTTTTCCTCATCAACCGTTACATGCGCTTCGATATCTATAAAAGGCGAATGCTCTTTGCAATTTATTTCAGTTTGATCGCGTCATTCGCGATTAGTTGTCTGCATTTATCGATATGAAGGGGATTTACTTATTTCTTCTCTTCGTCTCTATTAGCGGTGCATTTGCGCACAAGAAAGACGGAGATGAGAGAGTCGAAGTGGAGTTATCACTGGGGAAGATCAAAGGTTCAATCATCACCTCAAGATTGAAGAGGAAAATATATTCGTTCCGGGGGGTTCGATTTGCCGAGCCGCCGACGGGGGAATTGCGATTTAAAGTAAGTACTTAATAGATTCCTCAAGTCAATGACGCCGAGAGTAAGATGATTCATCGGAGAAAAAATAGAATGATCTCATTACTTGCCCCGGATTGATAATTTTATTGAACAACAGCCTACGGTGCCGGTGAGACCTTGGAATGGCACGTTCGATGCATCCGAAGAAGGTCCAGGATGCCCTCAACCAGGGCTCGACCTCCAGTCCGAGGATTGTTTACGCCTGAACGTCTACACGACGAAGGTAATTAAATTGAGTAAATTAATGTCTGGCGTTAAATAAAAAAAATGCATTCTAGTTTCCGTCCAAAAATGAAGATGTGAAGAGACCGGTTATTGTCTTCTTCCACCCTGGAGGCTTCTACAGTTGGTCTGGACAGACTTACTACGCAGGTCCTCACTACATCATGGATCAGGACATAGTCCTAGTGACGGTCAGCTACCGATTAGGATCCTTAGGTAAAAGAAATTCCCATCAGGGGATTTTCCACGAACGTCCAGTTCGATTTTGAAAGAATAATTATTCCAGGATTCTTGAGCACTGGAGATGCACTGGCACCCGGTAACAACGGGCTGAAGGATCAAGTGGAAGCACTCCGCTGGGTCAAAAAACACATCTCAAAATTCGGAGGTGATCCGAACTCCGTTACGATATCCGGATGCAGTGCGGGTTCCTGGAGCAATTCAGTTCATCTCGTCTCGCCGATGAGCAGAGGTTTGTTCCACCGTGTCATCGGTGTCAGTGGTGCTGCGACATACCAAAATCCGTTGCCACACCACCAGAAGGATCTCGCGAAGAGGCAGGCTGAGGTCCTTGGATGCCCCAGTGACACGACCGAGAGAATTCTAAATTGCCTGAAGACTAAAACAGCTGAAGAATTCGGCAATTCACTTCCTAAGCTCGCTGTAGGTGCTTTTCCCTCCTTTTCGATACGTATTGTAGGCTTATTCCTATCGTTACATTCTTAGGAGTGGTACGGGGATCCAGTTTTGCAGTGGCGTCCAGTCATCGAGCCAGAGGTACCTGGGGTGGAGAGATTCCTTTCAGCTCAACCATCGGATCTGATCAGACAGGGAAAACTGTGTCATGTACCCCTGATGACTGGAATTACTAAAGACGAATTTGGCGGAGTCCTTACTAGTGAGTGATCAACCCTGAGATCTGATAAAATATATTATTATAATTCCGTGATTACAGTTCCGATAACACAGCAGAAAGTGAACGGCAGCACTGCGATATTCGATGACATCAATGCCAATTACACAAGAATCTTTCCAATAAGTTTCTTCTATGAACGAGGAACGGACAGGTCTCTGGCTATCACCAAGAGTCTCAGGAAGTTCTACCTCGAGGACAAACCTGTTGGGGTTGACAACTGGCAAGGATTGGCCGATGTGAGCATCAGTAATCTCGAAATCTCTGATTAATCAATCCATTTTCTCACGCATTATTTGTCTCCGTCAGCTGTACGCAGATGCTCTAGTCGGATTCGCTAATCATCGTTTCGTGAATCTCATGGGTGCACACTCAAGGGCGCCAGTTTGGTACTGGAAATTCACGTATCAGGGAAGATTCACCACAGCAAGATGGCCGGACGGCAAGCCATTCGGTGAGGACAACAGTCTCAACTGATTTTCCTTCATTAACTCATGATTTTTTATCAGGAGTTGTGCATCAAGACGATTTGATGTACCTCTTCTACCAGAGCAAGGTCTTCCCGTACTTCGAGGCGGATGCCCCGGAGAATCAGATGGTCGACAAGATGACTGCCATATGGGCGAACTTCGCGAAAACCGGAGAGCCGATACCCAAGGACAATCCTCTCTTCAAAAACATCACCTGGACCAAATTTACGACTGACAATCAAGCGTACTTGGACATTGGTGATTCCTTCGAGGTGAAGAATGGACTTTATATCGATCGAATGAACGAGTGGGAAAAACTTTTTCCCCTGCGACCATTACCTTGATCACTTAATATGAATACTTTAATCCTCTTGTTGTAATTAACGCAGCTCTTGGATTTTTCCGTCGATATCTTGATGAGATTAAATAATAAAGGGAAAATTGCAACGCAATGGTTATTGTAGTAAGCTCTAGTAATTGTAGCGGTTGAAAGTTTCTCCGTTCCATCTTTCTGCGCTAATGATCAACTATTAATGGAAACCATATCATCTGAATTGATCCAATTCCCGTACCTAGATCATGAGATGAAGTTATTTAATCCGCATAAATTACCTAGATCGTCTGGAATTTTATCGATCGCTTGTTAATGGTGATGTACGTGATTGAGCCCCCACTATCCCCAAAAAAAATCCCTAATCTGGTGAGCGACACAATTACGAGCGCTTGAGTATAAATAGTCTACAAAGAATTTCCTCAGTATTTGTATCGGTGGGCTCAAGCGATCTCAAATTCAATCATGCAGCTCCAAGCAATAATTCTTGAATTCGCTATTTACGGTATATTGTGTTTAAATTCTGGTGTTGACGCCTCAATAAACAGTTCAACGCAACAGAAACACCTGCCATCGCAAAATATAAGCAACGGAGATGGTAAGTTAATGAATTCCGAATATTCATTTATTCGAAATTTATTCGAATTTCATTGCAAAGAAAAATCGTGTGTTCTGTTTTCCAGAAATTCTAGGAATTTCTGGTGGTCATTACGCGGAAATAGGACAGTTCCCTTGGATGGCTATAGTACATCAATTACTTGAAGAGGGTGTCTTCATGTGCAGTGGAAGCATCATATCGGACCGGTGGGTTCTTACGGCTGGTCATTGTATCGTTAGGTCTCCGCAAATATTCATGGTGATTTTCGGAGAGACTGACAAGAAAAACATCAGGAGGAGGTATTATCGGGGTCCAGGAGTCGCCATGTGGACGACGAGGGCAGTGCTTCATCCGCAGTATGCAGAGTTTTTCAATGATATAGGATTACTCTATATGCCACGGAAGATTCCTTTTTCAGGTATAACCACGATTTTTAATTTTTCCATCTCCAGTTGATCCCCTGGTTATTATCAATTACGATTTTTCAGCCACGATACAGCCAATTTATATGGCTGGGCCAAGATTTCAGTATGTGTCATTGGCTGGCACCACTGCTGTGATAGCTGGCTGGGGACAAACAGAAAATTTTAGGGGTGAATCAAGACTTTTGAAATGGGGTCAATTGCAAATCATCAGCAATTATTGGTGCTCACAGTTCTTGTCCATAACGGAGAGTAATATATGCACTGCAGCGAGAACTGAATCTGATACGTGTCAGGGAGATAGTGGAGCTCCTCTTGTGATTAATGATGGAGGATATAACATCGTTGTTGGGATTGTCAGTTATGGGGAGACTGATTGTCCGAGTTCTGCCCCCGGTGTGTTCACACGAATTTCTTCATTCACAAATTGGATTGCACGGGTCACGAACATAATGTAATAAAAATTTGAGTTATCAAAAAGTCGTGATTTATTATTATTATGTATTATTAGTATTACATGAACAGTATTATAGTAATTAATCAGTCCTGTGGGGATTTCCTCAGGTTCGCAACATTGTGTTCATAGAAAAATGAAAATACAATTTTGATCAAGCAGAAAATGATGCATTTTAATTTCTATAATGATGATTAAATTGAAAACATTTTAAGGGGATTGTGATGAGATAAAATGGCGGGGGTAAATGACGAGTCTGTTGCACAACTCATTGCGTTCTAAATAAATCCGGTAATCTCAATTCGCCCCGGGGTCTCACTTAGCCCTACCCTTTAGAAATTTTATTGTCTTCCATTACTCATTCGGAAAAAAACTCGTTTGCGTCAGACAGGGCAGAGAGATAACCGCGGGCATAAGGAAATTGCTAAAAATATATGAAATGTGAAAAACGGGAAATCCCCGGAATAATAATTCTTTTATTCAAATCGCGTACTCAGTACTGATGAATAACTCAAAGCAGTTCATAACTATTTCAAAAATAATCTCAGTCATAAAAATGAATAAACGTGTAATAAATATGAAGATATCGAAGATCGGATAGATATTGCACCTGGAAAAACGTCAATTAATAAATTAATGAGAGACTTATTTGAAGGAATAAAAATATATAAAATTGATTCGGCATTCCACGCAGGTGTTGACGCACTCCATCGATTGGCACTTGGTAATTATTAAAAATAACACTTGTTTCTGCGTTGACCCACCGAAAGCTGAATCTCAATTCTGAATAATAATAAAACATGATTCCGAGGAATTGCGAGTGTCACATTGTCCTAACATTTTCCTCCTCACACCTCTATCCTTTTCTTCTCCCACGCTAATGAGGTACAGCAGCCATACAGTCCGACGTTTTATCTCTAGCGTTTCAGTTGTATTAGCGACTGCTCCCAAAGACGTACCTCACGATTATCTGAATGATAAAATCGTCTGCATTCATCAGTCAGTCTTCATCACCATGAAGTGCCTTTTGCTGTCACTCTGTCTTCCTCTCGTCTTGTGCATCACCAATGCCGACGATGAGAAAACAGTGGAGGTCGAATCACCACTGGGTAAAATCCGAGGATCATTGATGCAGTCAAGATTGAAACGAAGAATTCACTCGTTCCGGGGTGTACGGTATGCAGAGCCTCCAGTTGGTCAGGAACGGTTTAAGGTGAGACTATTTAAGACAATCAAAAAATGGTTAGAAGCTGAGTGAGAAAATTCATTCATCGCGGTCATTAAAAATTTTTGTATCACAACCTGCGCAATTCTGTTGGATTTTCCATTGAATTTTGTGTTAATTTCTGAGTGAATAATTAGTTCTGGAATAATAAACCCATTTTAATTCACCCTTTGTCATTGCTAGTTAATGATGGCGTACGTGATCCACCGTGTGAAGTACCAGATCTCATTATTTTTCTCTCCTTTGTTTCTTTATCTCCCTCACGAGAATTGCCAAGACGAATCAGACAGTAATTTGCGACAATTTCCGATGATTCACTTCAACAAAGCCAACGTACTAGACCGCGACCTCGGTGATGATATACAATGTAACAATGTGTGTGGATAATGCTCGGTTACGAAATTACTTCCGGCAAACAGTTGCGCTATTGGATAATTTATGCAAACAACTTCTGTATAGGTTGGTCTTATTTCTCGGTAGATTACGTTCATTATTTTACGTAATGATGATCTTATTAGCTTGTCGTATTTTTTATCTCAAGTTCATGACTCCAATGACAGGTTTTATTAATTTAAAAAATCGTCGCACCTCAGCGCCGCGATAAACGTGTAAAGGGTTATGAATCAAAATTATGAATAGTCAATATTAGAAAAAGTAGCAGAGGGATATGATTAGAATTTTGAGAGGTCATTCCGAAGACATATACTTGGAGGAAAATAATGAAAACGTAGTGGTGGAAAAAATAATGAAGGGCTTTTACGCAATTTTTGCGGCGGAATAATGATGAAATTTTATTTTCTACGTGTTAGCAAGCAATTCCTGTCAAACCCTGGAACGAGACCTTCGATGCCAGCCAAGAAGGTCCCGCATGCCCTCAACCTGGTATAGAGCACTATTCCGAGGATTGCTTACGTCTCAATATCTACACGACGCAGGTGATGACTCACTGGTAATTTAATTTTAGTGTAATCACCTTGAGAAATGATCTCTGAATGCAATAATTGTAGCTGCCGACAGCGGATAATGCAGTAAGCCGTCCGGTGATTGTGTATTTCCACCCTGGGGGGTTCTACGGATCCTCGAGCCAGAGTTTCATTGATGGACCGGAGTACTTTATGGATCAGGATATTGTGCTCGTAACGGTCAATTACCGTCTGGCATCATTAGGTATTTTTTCCTAATTCGGTGTATTCATATTCAATGAATGCACTAAATTAGACGCGTGAATAATCCGGCGTTAAAATTGTCGATAAATATCTTATCGTCTGCTTCGGGTCTAATGGTTTCTCGATCATTACCAATGAAATTGCTCCAGGGTTCTTCAGCACTGGTGATTCATTAGCACCTGGCAACCTTGGCCTGAAAGACCAAGTCGAGGCGCTGCGCTGGGTTCAAAAGAACATTGCAACTTTCGGTGGAGATCCAAATTCCGTGACAATCGTCGGCTACAGCGCAGGTGGATGGAGTGTTTCTCTTCACATGGTGTCACCGATGAGTAAAGGATTATTCCATCGGGCGATCGCCATGAGCGGTTCTGCCACTTATCAGAATCCTTTGCCAACGGACCAGAAGCATCTCGCTCACAAGCAAGCGGAGATCCTGGGATGCCCCACAGACACCACTGGAAATATGCTCATCTGTCTCAATACCAAAACAGCAGATGAAATCGCTAATTCAACGCGACAATTTTTTGTAATTTTCTCAGTTCCTTTTTTATGTCAACGAAGACTATTCTGTACTCTGAAGTACAGCTTATGCATATTTTTGTGAACAGGAATGGCATTACGATCCCATCTTGATTTGGCTACCAGTGGTTGAGCCAGAAGTTCCAGGAGAAGAGAGATTCCTTCCCGATCAACCGGTGAATCTCATCAGACAAGGAAAATTCAATCAAGTCCCACTGATAACTGGAGTGACTAAAGACGAATTCGGTGGTCGAGTTGTGCGTAAGTATCAGAAATTCCTAATACCTGCAACGTCTTCAATTCTTATGATTACACCACTGCAGCCGCTGTTGAAGCTGCAAAGGCTGGGAACAACTCCATATTCGACGACATCAACGCCAATTGGTCAAGGATTGCTCCAATCATTGCCCTGTATGAGCGAGACACAGCTAGATCAGTATCTGTGAGTGAAGAATTGAGACAATTCTACCTGAAGGGTAAACCTGCTGGATTAGACAACTACCGAAGTCTCGGCGAGGTGCGTTAGATCAAATAACTGAACTCATCGGTCTCTCGTTGCTTTCCTGAAAAAAAAGATTTAATTTGCAGATCTGGGCTGATGGCGTTATTGGTTTCTCCGTTCATCGCCTAGCTAAACTGATGGCTGAATTCTCCTCTCAACCCGTCTATTACTACAAATTCTCGTATCAAGGACGATACAGTCACGCAACATGGGATGATAAAAAACCTTTTGGTAATTGCAGATGAAAACGATAATTCTCCATGGAGAAATATTTATGACTTTTTGATTTCCTAGGTGTTGTTCATCATGACGATTTATTGTACCTCTTCAACGTAAGTTTCTTCCCGTATTTCGAAGAAAATTCCCCGGAAATTCCAACCGTCGAGCGTCAGACGACCATGTGGGCAAATTTCGCCAAGACTGGTGAACCCATTCCTAAAGATCACAAATTATTTTCAAACATCACTTGGAACAAATTTACATTAAGCGACAATGCGTATTTGGATATTGATAATGAACTCACAATGAAGACTGGTCTGTACACCGAGAGGATGAATCTGTGGGAAAAACTCTTTCCAATTAATCCACTGCCTTAGATAAGCCATCTTTCAATATTTAGTTACGCCATATTGTCGATTTAATCTATGTTCACTATACGTGAATCAAGTGTAAATGCTTTTGTAATACGAGTATTCGAGGCAATATAATGTGTTATACTGCATAATTAAAATGACATGTGCAATTTGAAGTAATGGGTCTACTCCGCAGTAATGCGTTGATTATAAGTGTGACTAATGATGCCATGCCTCATCAAAAAGACATTAGTTCAAAGTAATGAGCTGAATCATGGAAATGAACCTAGTACGCATGATTTATGAACAGTAGCTCACGAATGTGCAACAGGGAAAATAAAAATGCCTGATTATTCTCGGAAAATCTATTGCCGAACATCGCACAACAAAATTAATAAAAAATTAACAGATATTCAATACTCAATTAAAATGAGTATTTTCATTCAATAGTGAGGAAAAACATGTTTCCGAAATATTTATTTAATTGAGAGAATTATTCGGTCTCTCGATATCATATTTTTCACTTAAAAATGAAAAATAAGATTTTTCGAACCAATAATTCACACGAATCAATGAATACTCGAGAGATAATTTTTCCTCAGGGTGAGAGAAAGAGTCTTTATATTTTGGGATCGGATGATTGCAACTTGACGATATTTTCACTGAGCTCCCAGAATTTTTTTCCCTTTGCCGGGTCCTGGACCCCGACAGTCAGAGGAGTCTCCTGACAGTCTGAGAAGTATTTCCCAGTGATGCCATTGACTTCATCAGAGACTGCGAGATGGATGGAAGTCTGTGCGCCCTGGGCTGGAGATTTGAAGAACCCTTTGACGATGAGCCTGAGGCCCCAGGAGAGTGGCACTGGGACATTCTTCCAGATTCCGCTGTCGATAAGACCAGGGTGGAGACAATTGACTGTCACCCCTGTTCCTTCCAGTCTCTTGGCGAGTTCCAGAGTCCACACGATGTTCGCGTATTTTGACACGTAATAGAGGTACGCAGGGAATGATCCCGTTGGATTCAAATTCTCAAGGTTCAGGGAAGCCATTTTGTAGAGGCACGAGGCGACCACGACGATCCTGCTGGGCGCTGTTCGCTTCAATAAATCTGAAACCCATTAATCCGAAGCGAATGAAATATCTGTTGACATTTCTCTCGATAAAACCGAAATGTCAATTTAATAAAAAATTTAATCTAATTAAATTTTTAATTAGAATAATTCGTTTTGACGTCATCAGTCGAGAGACAAACAAATTCCTGCATTGCCAAACTCTGATATAAGGAAGTCCTTCGACAACATACATAAAATCATACATCTCATAAAACACAGGTATTATTTACCAATGAGCAGGTGCGTCAACAAAAATGGGCCGTACTGATTGGTAGCCATAGTAGCTTCGAGTCCATCCTCAGTTAATTTTTTTCTGAAAACCTCAGCAGTTCCCGCATTGTGAATCAGCACATCCAGTCGCCTTTCCTCGCGATTGATAACTTCAGCGAATTCCCGGACCGATTTCAAGGAGGAGAGATCCAATTTTCGTACGACAATATCATTGTTACCAGTTTCTCTGGCAAAATCGTCTGAGGGAGAATGAAAGGGCATGAATTGAAAAGAAAAAAAAATGAGAGATTCTGTCAAACCGTTCGCCACGAAAGTACCGTTCCGTGCAGTTGAGCTCAAGTGCATTGGACTTTATAACTCGTATGCAGGAAACTAGATGCTCTCACGGTGGAATAATATTAACACATTTTACGCATTTTTACTCGTACCTGTTACTCTCGTCTATTGATCATTTTAATTATTCATTTAATGACAGCGGTGTTAATTACCTTTGAGTTTTGTCGCCGCATCGGTATTTCTGCATGCCATTATGACCCTCGCTCCTCTTTTCACCAGGTCTCGGGCTGTTTCCAGACCGATACCTGAGGTACAGCCCGTTATTATGACGGTTTTACCGTTCATTTTTTTGGTGCTCTTGCAGACACCTGTCGTCAGGTAGATGTAGATCTCCAGCAGCAGCAGGAGGAATAAAACTCCGGAGATTATTGCACCAACTGCCAGGTAGCACAGCGTCGGTGTTATTTCAATTCCAAATATCATAATTCTAGCGTGAAAAATTACGTAAATGATGGAAGTGTGAGCAGTGATTAAAATGATTTATTTATTGTTATTTTTATTGATAAATCGAATTATTTGCTTTCTGAGTTCAATTTTTCCGTGAAATATTTTATTAAAATCAGTGGAAAAAATAGAAATCCCGTGGAATTCCAAAAATATTAAGAGGATAAAATAAAAATTAATCTTTCCATCATGGAGATCAGCAGTCAAGGCAAACAAGAGTCGATTGTCGTATTAGAATATAATTGATAATTGCATTAACAAAAAATAATGTCAAATGACCCATAATGTCACACATTTCAATGATTATCGAATAAAAACTGAATCAATTGATTCAATGACGTGAAATTCCCATCAGAGGATCTGGATCGGTAAAAAAGGATATATACCTTGAATTCGAAGGAAAATCCCGTTGAATATTCTACATGTGTGGAAACACCTGCACACAGTGAAAATCACGTCGACACTCGGGTCTCTTCCTCGACTGGAGATTGCGGGACTCATTCGATTCATCAAGCCCCCCACCCGATATCTTGTTTTTCATGTTCTTCCATCTCTTTCTGGAAGGAATTCCTGGTGTGTAACATTGGCCTTGAGTGTGCGGTGAAGAAATGGTTATTCCCGGTGGGAGAAATTTTCGTTTGTCTCCGATATTTTTCGTCTCTTCGAGAAATCTCACGGAATAATAAATGAACGAATGAAAAACACCCGATATGTTAATTAAATAATTATATTTCTGTTCTCGTTTTCGTAGGTATAATGATGATGACACAGATAATATAAACATTTTATGGTACATACAATCCTGGAGATTGATAATACCTCTCCCTCATTTTCCAACAAACAGAACATGGAAGTCACAAAGCAAAGTACAATTACCCTGTTTTGACGGAATTGTTCGAGTTCAACGAATAAATAACTCCTCACTCTTGAAATCAAATTAACAGGAGTGAGAGATTTTTTTCCGGTCTACACAGTTATCTGGTTCGGTAATGAATCGGTGTTGCGATATGATTTCCCCCGAGAACATGGGATTTGTTGAGTATCTCTGAACCCAAGGGAGAGAGCAAAACCTTGATTCAGAGATTTTTTTCATCTCCCTACGTCTTCCAGATTCATACACGAAATTATTCTACTAGAATTGTACAGTAAAACGTCAATTAATTTGAACTTTGTGTAAATTACCACCAAGAATTAAAAAGCTATAGAATGTTCTCTCAAATAAAATAAAAATCCACAGAGCTCTCATCCCATCCATCGACCTGACGGGAATATCCATTTCCCAGTGTACGATCCCCGAAATCCCATCCCCAAAAAAAGGAAGAATCACATGGAAAATATTTTTTCAATTCCCTAAAAGCTAAATGATCAATTATCACAATATCACCTCTTCCTCAAACAGTGGAGAACCGGGGATCAATGGCCGGTGTTCCCTCAGGCTCAACTTCATCTCCCATTGCAGCATTATCCTCAATCCCCTCCTCCTCCTCCTCCTGCGGAGGCACATTCTGACTCTTCCCCCCAGTGTTTTCCACCTGATAAAGAATATCATGACACAAGGGGCACCGATCCTGCACATAAAGCCACTTCCTGAGACAAACCCCATGAAAATAATGATTGCACCTCGTGACCTTGGCACTCTTCATCTCCTGATAGCAAATGGGGCATACATCGTCGAGCATTCTCAGCTGCTCGACCTTGGCCTCGGGGAGTGAATTAATTTTATTCACAGCAGTCCTGCGTTTCATGAAAACACTCCATCCAGCCTTGGCCTCATTCCAAATATTGAAATATGCATGAATTCCCATCATAATAGCCCTGATAGCACCCCCAGACTCGAATATGAGAATCCAGAAGCCATTGAAGAAGAGAACAATTCCAAAAGCAAATTCAATGGTATTACCGAATGCTTTGATGACGTAAACGCAGTCGTCGAGCTGCTCCCAGAAGGTGCTCCTGTACGCGTCAATGAGGAAGAGAGAATAAATTGACAATGATACGAGGACTTTGACGATAACCTCGATGCTGAAGACAGTGACAGCTAGAAGCCAAGTGCTGATGGAGAAGTGGGACCAGAGGAAGACGAGTAAGGACACAGGAAATATTATGAGAAATGCGCAGACAGCGAGTGCCCTGAGATGCCTGTGAAGGGCTGGATTGTGGGAGGCACTCAGTGACATCAGAAGTGGATTGACGATGTTGTGGACGAAGTGGAGGACAGCTGTGAAGAGGAGGCAGAAATTCCTGCAGAGTTTAACGAGACGTTTTTCACGATCGAGACTGGTGAGACCTGTTTGCAGGGCCAGGATGTAAAAGAGAATTGCTGAGACTGTCCCAATGCTCTTTTCGTCCTCGTATTCTGTGAGAAGGATCCACTGGAAGTAGCAGCCGATGTGGTGGCAGATGTAGGATATTATGCTGGTCATCCCCAGGACTGCTGTCAAGGTCTCGCAGCCGTTCACCAAGAGGGTCTTCAACATCGTGTAAAGGGTGAGAGTCTCTTCCCCGTAGTGATTGCCAAGGATTTGGATAATCTGTTCACCAACACGAAGCATCCAGAAGGTACGCAGGACATTTGGAACGTTCAGGCGCACCCACTCGATCTCGGCTAGGGCTGAGAGGCCGTACGTGCTGATAAAGGTACGAGCGTGACGGTATCCTGCGTGGATTATCTTCAGCATTGAGAGACTGTTATACCACAGAATAAATTTGCAGACTGCCAGAGGCAGCAGAGCTGCGAACACTGGGGCGTGATGCAAGACGGGGGTCTGATAACAAATAAGAATTATTTTTATATAATTATTTTATATCAATGATATGATTGAGCGAGAATTTCTAGGATTGATTGATCGACTTACTGGCAATGGAGTAATAGCCAGGACTGAAGGCGCTAGAAAACTGGCAACCAGTAATTTCTGGAGGATTGGATGACGTGGAGCTAAATGGATGTAGCAAAATATACACGCGAATAGACTCTGCAGTAAATAATTCTCGATAATGAGAATTCCAGGACCATAATTCATGAGTTGATTGATATTGAGACACAGTATATCGTCTAATATACTTGTTGATGTGTCGAATGAATTTGCGTAGACAATAACGGCTTTCATCGTGCTGACATTCGACCAGTAGGACAAAAATATCGTGCCAACTGATATCAGGTACAGGTAGACAACTATCAGATGCTTCGTCCACAGCATAAATATGTACAACGATACGACGATACCTTGAATTGATCATCTCGATTAATTGCGAGTTCAGATTTAAATTGGGCATTTTCCGTTAAACCGGACATGCATTTTTCATGATTAATTTTTCATCTCTCAGAGTGTTTCGTCAATTTTACACTGCGTTCTGTGACTCGATAAGACTATAGGGATTTTTTTCCAAATTTTTTTGAGCGCTCATCCGTATCAGGGTTGCCAGATGGCGATTTTTTCCAAAAATTGTTTTTGGTTTTTCAAGAATAGGATAGATGATAGCAAGCTTCGAATTAGATATCAACTAAGCCATTTCAAAAGTGTCAATCATTCGCGTTATCGGCTGGACTTGCTTGATTGGGATTGTTTAAAGTCAAAAAAACATTTTCAAAAAATTCGCCATCTGGCAACTCTGATCCGTATGTGTCCGACGTCTCACCGCGTGAGAAAAATCATTCCCCCACTCCAACATTGCCTCCTCTTTTTCTAATGTCTTCCGTTCTCTCTCTTATGCGCGAGAAATGCGCGCAGTGATATTTACCAGCTGACAGGCCCTCACTTTGGGACCTATGTGCATCTCTTTCTAGTGAGTCTCCACTGTACCTCATTTCTCCCCTTCTATGCATTTAAAAATAATAATTAATAAAAAAAACAATGGATTATGTCCATTTGTATTTTTCAGGTGGAAGACTCATGACACATTTTAAATAATGAAATATTAAAAAACCCGAAAAAATATTCATTACAGTTTCTTGGAGTCCCAGAATTGAGAGATCATGAAAATTGACTGTCCAATTTGATGGAGAATACCCCAAGTATGAGGTACACAATTTTATTACTCACCCAGGCAACAAGCTAGGAATTTCATAAGTGTGTTAACATATGTCTGGTAGAAGTAATCGTTAATATTAAATTGTTGCATAAAAAATGGCTCCGGTGACACGAGCGAGCCGACCAGGGTATTCTGCATACTCTCGACTTTAAAATTATTTAATGTTTCGTTAGATAGAAGGATAACATTGTCCTCGGGCACACCGAGACTCATCCTCAGGAGCTCGTCGATGATGAATAATGGGGGCACTCTCATTACCACATTGGCGAACCCCATTATTCTGTCTCGCATTATCGTTTCCATGGGTATTTTCCGTCGATTTTATCGGGGATCAAATGCTCATGGGGGCCTTTTTGCAGGTGATCGCTCTTGGAAGGATTCGATGGTAACAATGCATCACAATCCAATCGATGGTGCCACTTCTGACGGTTTTACCTGGAACAACCGATCAATTTTCATTCTAAAAAATACTCCATTTCATGAATAATCTATTTTTTTTTAATTCGACGAGCTTAACCAATGGTATATTAATTGTACACATATTCTCCTCGGAGAAGCTAGATGTTGAAAAAAATGGAATTCGCTGGAATTCCAATAGATTATCCAGAGATTTCCACAAAAAATCCAACAGAGGAGAAATTAAAAACGGGAATATCAGCTTCCACTCGGTAAAACCTGATCCTGATGAATTAAAAATCGACTTAATTTTTTTAAAAATGGCCAAAACTTGGTAACTCACCAAATCGTGAAAAAAATTCTTTAATCACAAAGGAATCTCGACGTTTGGAAAAAAATTTTTTGCTTCATCACATCCTCGTTAACCTTTTACAATGGCACAGACTCGCAATCGTACGTAACCTCAAAATACTATTGCACTGACGTATTGTACCTGAGGTATTGTCTGGTAATTGTATTGGTTTCGATTTAGTGTGACGTAGGCAGGGGTGATGTATTTTTATTTAGCCGTTATCGTTATGTCCTCGCTTGTTTACATTTTTGTTCTTGCAGACATTTTTTTAAAATGACAGCCCGTAGCAGTGACCCAATAGCAAGATTTAACAGCACTGGGGTGTGCAAGATATGCACAGCCTTGATCCTTTTACTTGAAAAACATATCTGCTCTTGACAACCATGACTTGGATGGTTTCAGAAAAATTCATTATTCGTATTTCAATGAATTTATGATTACACTATTATTTTTTGTAATATTCATTCGATGACGATTAGATATTTATATTTATGTATTCATTGCCATTAGGGGGAGGAGCCAGATTGGGGCGGATATAAAGAAAAATGGGAACAATGGAGGAAACCTAAAACGGACCACCTTATCCCTTTATATCCGTAATATTTGGCGAGTCGAAGAAAATAGTCAAATATTTATAGGAACTTTTTTCTGGGGCAAGAAGATAGCTGCTAAAAAGTTTTTATAAAAAATTTTCCTATCTCCCTTGGATTCCGAGATATTGAAAAAGTGAGGTCTCGGTTGAATTTACTATTTACCCGATCCCCGTGGAGAAAACCAATGCAATTGCCACGCAACCGATGTAATGTTCCTGATTACAAAATATACGTTCAATTCAAATCAAATTTACTGTAATTATAGCGTTTTCTCTTTAATTTAATTAGAACACTGGGCTGTTGAAACGACTGTCTCACGGTCTACACAGCGAAGTACCTGAATGCGAGAAATTCTCGAATCTCGATTTTCTTCGGGACATGATTCAAAGAAAATCTAGAAAATGATGTACTACAGCTATCGAAATCGAATAAATCAATAAATAACTTTTACTTTTATATACGATTTATTTTATTCAGATATGTTCGATCGAAAAAAGTTGAAGGAATTTTCTGGGAGCTGCGAGAGTTTTTTTATTCGACTTCCGAAGTAAAATTTTCCAGACCTCCGGCATCGCAGCAAAAAATTATATCTCCTTACGTTTTTTTTATCAATATTTTCTACCATTCGAAACAGAAAACACCAAGGTGAAGAGTTGTGACGACCCGCATGAAGAAAACTCTAGATGATCCTGTAGTGATCTTCCAGTACCTAACGAGTGTCGATGGCGTGTGGACGCTGGGTCTCGGTCTGAGTTATCAGTGTCTAATTAATGGTTTTGGATTTTTTTTGTGATCCTAAGATGGGGATGAAGAGCAGGAATTATGAATTTACGACGATTTTTTTACTTCTCGAGTTGTTCTTCCTGTCGCAGGGGTTTGAATATAACAGAGTCTCGGATTTGGTAAAAGTTCGGAGACGAGCAGATGCTGGAGATGCTGAATTCTATGCTGTGAATTTTGTAAGGGAGTGGATAAATTATAAAAAATCTCAGAACACGACAGGTTTTCGTATTTTGAAATTATTCTGAAATAGCTAGGAATAGTTGAAGAACAAGGACGACAGGCCGAGCATTACAACGTCACCACGGAGGACGGCTACATCCTGGGGCTATTTCATCTTCCTCCGAACCCAAAGATCCCGAAAACTGGAAAGAATCGAGTAATATTTCTGCATCCGGGATTAGCGGCATCCGCCGACTGCTTCGTGATCTTCGGGGCCGAGAGGAGTCTCGGTAATTAACGTAATCTATAATTAAAATAGATCGTTAATTCTAATTACCACCATAAATACACAGCACACCTTCTGTCGAACGCGGGGTATGACGTGTGGGTGGGAAATGTGAGGGGAGGTACATACAGTCGTGCTCACAAAACTTTGAAACCTACGCAAGCCGATTTCTGGGATTTCAGGTTTGTATTTTGACATTTTTGTGATATTTTGTACCCCAGGTACAGACTCTCGTGGTGACTGCGGGAAACCATGGAAAATCTTTGCCGATATGGCGTCCATCAACCAAGCTTCATCGGAAAATATTTTTTCCGTAAACTTTTCACTTCGATCAACGTCCGCGATAAAATCGCTACGTATTCGATAATAATAAATAATTTATTCGAGGCAGTATCGACGATTTTGGTCTTCGGGACGTACCAGCCATGATCGATCGCGTCCTAGAAATAACAGGGGAGTCCTCCCTGTCTTACGTGGGCCATTCCTTGGGGACTACAACAGTCATGATGTTATTGTCAGCAAAGCCGGAGTACAACAAAAAAATCGACCTGCTCTTTCTTTTTGCACCGATCGTGTATTGGAAAGCGATGACACCGTTGAGAATGATTCTTCCCGCTGCCGGACAATTTATCCAGAATCTTCTGGACCCCAGAGGAGCCACGGAGCTGGTGCCCCAGGGCTCAGCATTCCCAGCGCTTTTCAAAAGAGTCTGCATACCTAATAACATTTTGGATCTTTGTTATCTTCCGTTAGATATATTACTTGGAGCTAGTAATCCAGAACAAGTGAACAAAGTGCGTGAGGATTAGAGGAAATTTTAAATAAATAAACCAGAGAATTCTATTCTGTTAATCGTTTCAGGTAGCTCTCATTGATTACCTGACATATTACCCTGCCGGTTCATCCGCCAAGTCATTTTATCAGTATCGCCAGCACGCGCAGAGTGGTAAATCTCGGATCTAAGTTTAATTACTAATAATTCCGATGGAAAATTAGTGCAAGGACTTGGTATTTTCTTTCAGGAAAATTTAAAATGTACGACTACGAAAATCCAGAGGTGAATCTCAAGTACTACGGCCAGACGAGCCCTCCGGACTACAATACCATGAACATAAAAGTCCCGATGGTGATATTCCGGGCCCAGAATGATCCCCTCTGCACACCACTTGACATAAAATCGCTATTATCCCACCTTCCTCGTAACATTTCATATCTGTACGAAGTTGTTCCATACAGAGACTTTAATCACCTGGACTTTGTGACCGCCAAGGACGTCAAGACTCTGGTGTACGATCGACTGCTGGAGATCCTCAAGGGATTCCACCGCGATAAATACGCAAATCGGGATGACAATAGAATAAATTAGAGATGAATTTTTTAGAATAGGGTAGATCATAGCAAAGTCTCAATGAGATATCAACAATCGATCAGCCAATAATTGACCAAATGAACAATTCAATTTCTGAATTGATGATCTTTTAGGTGATTAATAATCTGGAGTATTTAATTTTGGTATTAATTAATATAATCTGTTAATAATAATTATGTGAATAAATCCGGTTTCACTACATTTTAACATCGAGATTTATTCTAGAATCTAGTGATCATCGAGGTGAAAAGTAGTGGGTGCATTGGGATATTGTTTCTTGTAGAACTCGATGTACTCTTTCTTACGTTTTTCTCTCAATGCAAAGTACTTCGGATACATAGCTTTCTCGGTAGGATGCCATTGATCGAGTATCCAATCAGGGCATGGCACGTCACGTTGATAAGCAACACCCTCTGGGGATTCAGCGAAGTAGATCGGGGCTGGATGTAAACACTGCCAGAGCTCTTCTTCACCTGCCAGAAGAAGCTCCTTGCCCTTTCGAAGGTCTTTCAAATCTTTGTTCTCGTCGAATCGAGCTCTCAGAAGCACCGCCTCATACCTGGAATTTTTCAATGCAATTAATCACAAATACATGATCGACAGTTGATTATCATTACCTGTACTGCTCATGCATACTAATCCAGGCCTCGAGATTACGGAGAGCTCGTTTGTAAAGGCTGCAAACTTTTCTCGAGTGCGATATAATCCCAGTTGGAAGTGGTCCAGCCATCCTCCGACACTCGATCAATTCTCTGGCTCAATCAATCTGAAAGTGTGAGAATAATGAGAAAAAAATGGGATAAAGTGTAAAGTGTAAAAATACTCACAGTAATGCGAATAGTACTGGATTTTTTCTCGGTTGGGGTTATGTCAGCACCAGTGACTCCAGGGTACGCCTGTAGGTGTCTCATTTACCCACAGACAGGGGTGTATTCCTTTTGTATTGGTTCACCTCGTTCATTTGGGCGAGCCCAGCTGACCTTTCGTCGCCAACAGTCGTTGTTGAGTTGTTAAATTTCATGGCGTCGCTCATCGTGCATCGGCCGTTGAGTTTCTAAAGTGTCTGGTCGCCCGCACGGTATGTTTGGTCGTTTACTATTGTCGTTTCATTGACGGTCCCTTTACATTTTATAAATCCAAAGCGCTATTTCAATGCAATATCGTTGGGCTTTATATAGCAGAAAAACTATCCGATTCCCATCACCGAGCGCATTTTTCTCCGGGGGAGTTGTCGGTTTAGCGCATTTGTATTTTGCGGGAGATGTGGTTATTTCGAATATTTTTTGAATGATCCGCTCTTACTTGGAAGCGCTTCATTGGTTTTTTGTCGTATTTCGGGGAATTTATTTTTGAATAATATTGCAATATATTAATCTGATCATTGAGGAAAATTAATTTGGGAAATTTGGGATTAATCGTTTGGGTATTCCATGTCAACTCGTGAGGTTTCAATATTCATGATTTTTTTTATTTGTTCGAAAATGCGATTACCTGCGAACACCTGAAAAAATATAGCAATCCTTTAATTAATTATTATTAGTCTAGGGATTATTTTATGGAAATTAATTCATATTAAATGGCGAGTGAGAGATTTCTCTGGCTGTGGAATACATACGACACTTTATTTCCAGTAATTTGATTTTGACGAAACAATGGTACCGACGATGCCACCAGACGCTCACAAAATATCGCTAAAAATCATCGAAGCTATTAAACAACATCCAGTATTGTACATATCAGATGTGAAAGGCACAGCAATCAAATTACAGGAGTTCAGGCAAAAAGTTTGGAAGAGAATTTCAGACGAGTTGGGATTGGATCGTAAGATCGATTTCTGAATTAATTCAATAGAATAGAGATCGAATTTTATTTCCAATTGTTTTCCAGCTGCATGGGTCAGACTCAGATGGAAGAACCTGAGAGATACGTATTGCCGAATACTGAAGTACAAAAATAGAACTGATAAGGGAACGAGAAGAAAGAAATGGGTATTCGAGGATCACCTGAGTTTTCTCAAATTTCCGTGAGTATTCATCGGACATTGTCTGCGCACCAGATAAAAATGAAAGCATTAATTGAAATTTTATTCAAGATATGAACCTGATTACCAGCCGCAGTGTGTAGAATTATCAGATGAGTACATAGAAGAGATAAACGCCAGTGGAATCAGCACCGAGAGTCTCCTGGAGCAGCTGGAGGATCGCAACGACGAGGACTACAGTGAATACCTCGAAGTCCTGGAAGAGACTTCAGCAGATCCAATCCTCCAGGACGACAACCAAGTGGTAGAAATCCTCGACTGCGTGAACGAGGAAGACCTAAATCCAGAAATGCTTGAGAAAGACAGCGCAGCTCTGCAGGTAGAGACGTACGCTCGAGAGATCGAGAACAATTTCATAAGAATACGTCCCAAAAAAATGAAATTTGATAATAACATACAGTCCACCTCCACCCACATTTCGAGTGACGGAGCGAGACTGGATTCAAATGTCAATACCATTGTCATATCAACTGGCGATTTGCCTGGGCAAGATGACATAGACACGACTGAAAACGATCACAATGAGCAAGGGGACCACGAGATAAATCTTAATCATTCAAATCCCAAAGATTGTTTCTTGGAGGAAGTGCCAAAGACCAGTATTGAATTATTCTTTGACAGTATGGCACAGACTGTCAGACTTCTACCACCGAAAGCTCAGGCAGAGGTGAAGATGTCCGTTTGTAGAATAGTTACAGACGCTGAGGTGAAATATTCGAGTAAAAAAAATGCCCACAGCGTTCAAAAATTCATAGCTCCCCCTGGAATGATTCCCAAATTGGTCTTAATACCCTGCAGTATGATCGATAATCCCAATAATAACAGTAATTGAATGATCTTAGATATTTATTTTTCACTGTACATTTGAGAATACAAAAATAATCGCTGATTCTTTGTTTTGGGGATTGTTCATGGTACATTGCACTTACAACTTGATTATCATCGTTTAATCATAAATAAAGAATAATTACTTATTTCGATGTCGATTCGTATGTCTGGGAAATCATGAATTCCATTGAATTTTCGATAATAAAAACGTCAATAAATTTTTTTATTCGTGTTGTGTAATGGGCAATTGAATTAAATACAGAAAAGGTACAGGCGAAAATTTGGGAAATATGCGGTTTAATGTTGAATATTTAATAGAATGACTCGATCATCGGAGGAATTCGTGGAAGTGGTCATGACTGTGTGGAGGAACTACTGAGCTGTTTGTTTATTATCGAGTATGGAAGACAATAGAATAGTTGAGAATTAAAGTGTTTACAGGCTGAATTAATTGACAAAGTGATTGAACAGGTGCATTTGTGATTATTGAGAAAAATTCTGTTCTCGCCTTGATAAAGATTTTCAATTGAAACAATGATAAATGACAATTTTCAATAAAATAATATGAGATACTCTACAATAACGCGTCATTTAATCACTATGTATATAGTTTACATTCATAATCTCAAATTTGTCATTCTTCATTTATTCACAGCCTAAAATTAGTTAATGTTATTTTTATACATGAACGTATCAGATCTTGATGGGTACTACATTAAAATTGCACGTATGAGAGAATTCAGTAGAAAAATCTAGCGCTTTCTACGGGATTTCCTCATGCTTGTTTCATTATTCAAAATATTATTCGAGCGATGGGAGTCGTCGACCCATCATAATTGTTGATTCAGAGACTAGAAAATATGGAAGTTATGAAGACAATGGGAGGCCCAGTCGGGCAAGCACCATCTCCTTTCGTAATCGCGCTATTTCCCAATAGACGTCTTGCGCTGAAAATTTAAATGGATTATTGGGGGTATGGGGCAAGGTGGATATTGGTGGGAGTTGCATACCTGAACTTTTGACGAGACCTCGCTCGACGTAGCGCAGATAATTGAGAAAATCACAAACTGCGGTTATCTGGGGGCGAGAAGTTCGAGTCAATCGATTAAATTACGCGGTGTATTTTCAGATTTGTGGAAATTTCGGGTTGCAACATCGCAAATTTATTCTCGTTAATCCAATTGTGAAGGTACCAAACGTAAAACCCAGAATTCATTACAATTGATAATGAAAATTAAATGAAAAAACTCACCCGATTCCTGCAGACCTGTGAAATGGTGTGCCACTGGTTCTCGTGATCACCGAGTCGCATCCTGTGCTGGCAGAGTCTCATAACCCCGAGGAGGGCGCAATCCTGAGGACCGAGTTTTCCCTTCTCCCCAACGGCCTCGATAAAAATCACTCCCCCGAGTACAGCATCCCTCACCCTGACCCCGAGTCCTGCATTTGGAAAATCGAGACACAAGTCGATATCCTCCCTGAAAACCCTCCCAACGAACGCGTCACTCTGGCTGAGACAGGGTTTGGCCTTCCAGGCGAGGAACTCCTCCTGCAGCCGAGGATCGATCTCCATTCCCAAGTCCCCCAGGTCCTTGCCGATCCTCTCGCACTCGATTCCTTTGTCATCGACACTGTCCTTCGAGTCCAAGTCCCTTCCCCCGGAGTTTTCGATGGACTGACCCTCAGAATTTCCGAATCCTCCCTTTTCCTTGACCGGTGACTCCGGAGGGGAGTTTTCCCTGCCGTACTTGAGATTCATGTGTGAGGGTGACCTCCGGTGTTTCTTGGTAAAAATTCCTCCGCCCCCAGTCTCATCCGCAGAACTCGTGGATTTACATCTGACAGCGGATCTGTCAATCTGCGGATGAAGGTGAGGATTGGGTTGGGCTGGGGTCGAGGTCAGAACTAGAGTCTTGAGTGCCACCACCTCAGCTGCCAGCACCTCCACCTTCATACGACTCTCCTCCAGGAGTTTTTCAGCTGTTGCCTGACGTGTATTCGCTTCTCTCACCATATTATGGGCCTCCTGGAAGAGACTCGCTGTCAATTCCTCGAGTTCTGTCTCCACGTCCTGACGGAATCGCAGGAGTCTCGTGACCTCTTCGTCCTTGAGCTTGAGCTCCTCATGAGCTTTCTTAAGCTCATCCTGAAGTTTTGTTATGGCGTGCTCTTTCACTTCGGCAACGGTTTTCTCCCAATTGCGTTCCGCTGGGGTGAGAGACGATTTGTTTGAGGCCTCAGGGGCTAGAGTTAGAGATACCGGTCGATTCATCTGGAACTCCAGAACTTTTCCCTCGTTCTTCACGTCCTCCAGGTGATGAGTCTCAGATTTTTCGTCTCCCGTGGGATTGTAAGCGCTCTTGTGGCAGAATTCTTTCTCGTTGTACATGAAATGAGCGGAGGAACCGTTCTGGGAACTGAAAGTGTGTCGATGTGTGAACAAGTGGATATCGGACAGACCTTGAGATTTATTACTCTGAGGATCCACCGGAATATCGACTGTAATAAATTCACGGAAAAAAGCTAGCCCTTTTAGGCAGAAATTGGATTAATTTTTTTTCGAGCTTAGGTTTCTCTAGAAAAATTTTCTCATCCGTATTTTTAATCTCACCTGTGAGGCCGAGTGTTGCTGTCATCTTCATCAAATAAGCTAGTGGGCTCCTCATTATCCTCCCCTTTACTGGAGTAACCGAATAAATCCGTGGCAGCTCGCGCAAGATCAGACTTCAAAATAGGATTTGGTTGGTGATGAGCAATACCAGTGCAGTCAGCCTCGTCTGGATAGAGCTCATCCTCATCAGTTGTGTACTCCTCATCGCCTGTAGTACCAGTACTTCCGGCACGTCTGTGTTTCGTTGTAAGGGGACGGTATGCGTATTCACTACCAGCCGTCACGGAATCACTCGAGTCCATGGAATTGGGTTGTTGTTCCACGGCTTTCATTTTTTCCCCCCTCACCTATTATTTGAGACTAATCTATCACTTCACTTCTAGCCACCTGTGGAAATAAACATTATTATTTGTAACGTACTAATTTTAACTCTTTTTCTCACGCACGTTCATTTAGCTCATCCGGCCTCTGCTTACTAATGAAAAAAAACAAGTGGAAATTCGCAATTCAGCTGGTGGGGAATTTTTCCCTTCCTCTTTTCAATCCTGTGTTCCTCTTTTTTGTTTCCCACTATTGTTCCGGCCACTTGTATGTACGCGCATGATGTTATCATGATAATGGTTTTCTCTCATTCGCCATATTTTTTTTTTAATGTACATATGAAACACCGAACGTGTGCGGGAATATTTTTGCACTGGTGGAAAATAACAATTAAACTCTCAATGTCTTTTGCATGATAGCCTTGACAGCTAGTTTTATTACTGGGGATTAACCGGAAAAATTCATAATACCAGAAGGTCCACGTGTAATTTATGAGAATTATTTGAAAAATGTGTCGGGATGACTCTAGGAGTCGTGGACCGTCTGCAAATCCCGGAAATTTCCCAGAGTTTCCCCTCGGATATTCGGGATAATTACGATAGCTCCCCCTGGAGCGGTCTAATTAACGAAATTAAATCTCCACAGTGAAGTGATAAAGTGAGATAACCCAAATTAGATTTTTCTCTCAATTACCTATCGATTTACGTTGGACTAAAAATCCCCCAGGACTTTTCACCGTCGACATTTTCACTCAATAATTATTTCCCGTATGAGTGGTAACAGTTACCAATAAATGAATTGTTGAAATTGTTGAATTGTTCTTTACGAGGTCAAATTGGGCTCAATCAATTAACAGCGCGTGGGCAGAAAAAAAAATTAAAAATGATTATTCGTTGGAATTTGATGCCGTGGCATTTGAAAGAAGCACCATTCGGTGCCACGAGTATTCAACGGAGTGAATGGTACACCCTGGCACGGCATTACTATTACGTGTAGTTATATGTACCCGCGATGGAGAGAGATGGAGGAATTTGCCAGGATCAGTCAATGCTCTTTCTTGTTGTTTCTGCAAGTGGTGAGATAAATAACGCGATGGCAGTGGAAAAGGTGAATGCGATTTCAAGCGCAAGTAGAACGGCCCCGTGTAACGGTTAACTCGAGACATTGAATACTCAAATTCATCGCTATTCCCTATTATTTGTTATTATTTATTCATAGCTCGAGGGGAGAAAGCAACAAGCGAGAGGTGAATCTATCACTCTTCAACAATAGACACGAATCCACATGATAATGATTGAAAAATAAAGAAGAATGAATAAATTAATTGAGTGATTGATTTATTGAATAAAGAAAAAAAAATTGCTGATGCAGCTGATGAAAAATAGTGGAAAAGGGGTATAAAACGAAAATTGAAAATGAAAAAATTGGCGACAGAATAATTCACGCAATTTAATAATCATGAAGGTTTTAATTAATGAAGTATAACTGCGTGAATTGAGAGTGATTAAGATGAATTTCTCCATCAACTGATTCCCGGGACTGATTAATTAATGAAAGGAGTTGACCCCACGACTCGAATCGGACAGAGAACTCTTTGAGCCCCAGTGAAGTATGTGCACCCGATACGATTCATAATAAACTACGTCACGGTGATTTCTCTATACGGTGTACCTACACGCAAGGGGAATGGAGAAATAATTGAAAGAAAGAAAAAACATACGCGAGTAAATCCGGAGTGAAAGCTGCGCGTCGCGATGATGAGTTTTTATTTTATTTCGTTGAATGGCAAATCACACGCGACCGAAGAAAATTCCTTGACAAATTGATAAGCCGTAGTTGAATTTCGACGCGCAAGTTAACAGGATAAAAATAATACCTGTTCTATTTGCGAAATAATGCGGATTTTTTTTTTGAGAAGACTTACTCGTGATCGCTACTGCTCTCGTCTCATGTTTTTTTTTCTTTCGATGTATTGAAGGCGATTTCTCGTGCCAGAGATGATAATCATCCGCTATATTTGATCTCCTCCGGACCAGAATATGAGATTATGAGACACAACTCTCCCTTTGGACTTTTGCGTGTTGGTTTTTTTTGGTAAATTCGGGGTAGTGCAAATATCGAGGGAAATTTATTTGGACTTTACCGATTTTTTTTCAGACAGTGACGTGTGGAGGACTTGGAGTTTGGAGTGGCGTGGGAAAATTAATGTCTTTGGAAAAATTCGAGTTTCACTGTGGGAGTAGCACCGAGTTGTCCGAGGCCAATCGAGTCACCGACTGAGACCTGAGACCGCCCGACTCCGGGACAGCGTTCTACGGCTCTACGGAATGTTACAATTGATATATACTACGCATAGTGTTGCTACAGTGTGCACACATTCACTTTGCCACAACTGTATACACATTCCACTGGTTGGCTTCGGGTAATTACGATCGCCCGGACACTTTCGTTGATTAATTTTTGGGGAAAATAACGCGAGCGTGTGTTATGACATCTCTGGATGTCACGGACGAGGGGAAATTCTCAAAGAGATTGCTCTCGGGGTCGGTACAATTTGTGACACGGAACGGATTCTCTCGGTGGGTTGTGAGGAGAGAGAACAGTTTCCCGTTGCCATTGGTTACTCATGGAAATTCCCCTGCGCAGGACTGGAGGGATTTTAGTTGAGAATTCAATTTTTCTCGGCTTTTCGGAGTGACGGGGATTTTTTCAATTGATGATTTGGAATTATTAATAGTGGGGATTTATTTATTGTTTTAGCTGGAGTGGGTGGGGTATCAACGATGAACAAGGAAGAAATCCTTGAGATGAAGTTCCTGAAATGAGGTCAAGACTGGTCTGAGGTCTTTCTGATTAGCTTTGGCCTCTGCGTTGAAAGGGGCAATTGACGAAAACCGTGAGAATGCTTATCTAAGAATTTTATTGGTCTATCTCCTGGGCCTCTTGGGCCGCCAGAGTGGAGGTATGATCTCGTGAGTAGTTGTCTAAGTAGAAATCTCGAGGAGGATCAGACAGAAATCCTACGTTCCAATTATTGAATTCAAATTAAGAGAGAGTTTGTGTGAATTCTCTCAGAGTTCTTACGTGATAGAGAGTTCTCATCCCTCGGAAAAACTTTGCAAATCAAGCAATTCTACCTTTGTCCCAAGTTCAGTTCTCACATTTTGGGGAAAAAGTTCTGCTAGGTGTGGGGTTCGAACCCACGCTCCCATATGGGAACCAGAACTTAAGTCTGGCGCCTTAGACCGCTCGGCCAACCTAGCTCAATTTCATCTATTATTTTCAATGCCTTTGGTAATAATCCAAGGCAGGGTACAAGGATTTGCAACGGTTAAAATTAGTCGACCTAGTCCATCAATCGGTTGCCCATGACCAGCAGCAATTTCATAAGTCTAGATTATCAATTTGGATAGCTGCCAATAAATAGGTTTCCTTCCTGACCGACCGCCACTAGACTTATTATCAATCAATCGATTATCCAGTGACGGCATCCCCCTATCGGCAATCTGATGACAGAAATCTATTTATTAACAGACGATACGATTAAAAATTCCTTTCAGTCATTGAATGTTAATTTTTTTTTCGCAATTATAGGTGCAGAAAGTGCAAGTACCAATTGAGGCATTATGATGCGTAATGAACGGATCAGTTGAGTTATATCTCCAATCTTCCCCGGACTCTCGAAATTCGATAGCCTCTGGAATAATGAAGATTACGGGTAATAAGCAGATGGTAATATTCCATCCCCCGCGGTAATACAATAACCCTGCAGGATCCACACGCATTCATAAAATGTATTTCGAATAGAGTACAGTTGATGGCACAACAAGATCTTATCACGTAGCTGTCAGAGGGTGAGTGTATTCTTCCCTTCGAATTGCTCCTATCAAGCCGAACCCCGGACCCAGGCGATTCGTATTCCGGGGGTAGTTTTCGGGGGGTGCCGCAGCGCAAGTCGAATTTCCCGTTCACCTATTGATCTTCATATGAAACTTCATTCACACACTCCAGATCTATTGCCTAAAACCATATATTTCTAAACAAAAAAAAACTTTCCCCGAACTTAAGACGAATATCGAAAGCCCCGGGCTGAGATCAACCTAGTCTGAAATAAAAAGAAACATCAATAACTGCTATTTGTTAATATTTTTAATTCAAATTAGTTCATAAGGGGATGCTGGGAGATTGATTAAAACGTAAAAATTTTTATCTACGCCTGAAGAAAAAGCGAATATACTTTTGCTTTTGTAAATTGTTTTCGTGTGGGATAATGAAAGCCACGAGTGGTTGCCGCTGGCAAAACGCAAATTTACATGACGCAATGAGCCAACAATCTTGGAAATAATACCAATGTCGATTATTTTGTATCGTTCCCCCGTTTGTTGTTGCACTGCGTGTACACGTGGCAGCTCTGGGGGCTTTTGCGCGCGCCCAAGTGCCACGTGCCATCCAATCTAAATCTAATAACACAAACAGCATCACAATGACGTGCATCATAGTGGAATATCGTTCGTTTGGTCGTGAGGTAATAGTACACCATGTGAACTAATCGTCCCGAAGTGGTACTCTAGTGGCCATATCTTGTTTCCCCGGCCGCTTTGGGCCCCTCGCAAACATTTTTCATGAGTTTTTTATTCCTCTGCGATGGGAATTACTTGTATTCTTCGTAATTGGACAGATATTTTCTGACGTGGATTAATCATTTATGACTGGGACATTTTATTCGGTATTTTCGGGTCAAGACGACACGCATGAAAAATGAAAGAATGTGCTATTTATTCCGATTGTACTAGGTTTTTTCTACGAAATTTTTTCACACGTGGAATCAATGAATATTGCGCAATACAAATATCGCAAAAGTCGGGTCTCACCCATTGGCAACGCCTCGTTCAATACACGGTAATTAACGGTAATTGGTAATTAGTGGTAATTGGGGAGGAGTGAGGGATAATACAGCAAGGCTTGAACACCTCGAATTCCACATTTTTTTTTCATAATAATTTCGTTGAGATTTTCAAAAAGCAGGTGAATATTAAATGACGACAAAGTTTTGATTCTCAAAAATTGTAAGTTTAATTAATATTGATATACATCGACGAGTGTGTATTGTAATTAATACAAGAACAAGAAAAATTCATGTGAAATGAAATAAATATGATTGGAATCCGATGCAATACAGTTAATACAATAAAATCACAATGACTTTAGTCATTTTGTCTTTTGCTTTTTGTTTTTTTTTTTATTGTGATAATTCACTCGCCATCAACGATATGCAAAAACGAACAGTTAGCCATGAATTTTCAATGATAATCGATCGGTTTTATTGAGAATTTTCATCGACTGTTGTGACTGGTGCACCAAGATTTATTATTCTGCGTCGTATACTTTCGTGAGTCGGTGAAGAAATTCGATTCGGACCGGTTTATTAAACAATTTCAACTATATTTCTCTTCATAATCCGATACTTTGGATTCAGCCCTCGAACTTCCAATTACGAGCTGATATTTATTCACTCGATGATACATAAGTCAATGGTAATGTCGTTCGTTGAAAGTTCAAGGGCGGAATCTGTACAGCAATGTTCGGACGTCCTACGGGCGTTCTAAGATTATTTACAAAATTGGCACGCATCAAAAAATTTTCTAGAAACACTAGATAATTACCCGGACAATTCTATGGAATACGAGTCAGTGAGAATTCCATAGACAAGTCTAGTCTAGCTTTTCCTCAAAAATTTTTTCCGGCATGTCTTTTAATCTCATCTGTAACCATTAATCTACAATCTTTCTAAACTAATATTTCCTCCCCCTTCGTTGGATCCCTATGTAGGAATACTTTATTAATAATTTTATTAATTCATTTGTACATTGCAACAATATTTACAAATAATATACAAATTACACTGGTAATTTAATGACAGTATCCGATAATTGGAGAAAGGGATGGGTAGAAAATTCTCTCACATTTTTTCCCACCTGAAAAAACTGGAGTTTTCTTATTGATATGCGATATGTCTGTCTAGTGGGTCTGACATTTCCTTTCTGTCCTTAATACTCCATGAAAAAAAAAACTCCTACTACACCCCCGTAACTCTGCGATCCCGGCGGAGGGTGGGGATGGCATATAAAATATTGAAGTTTCGCCTTCGGTCCCTTCAACGGCACTCTAGTTCGTCCAAGTAGACTTTTGGAGATACGATATACAGACGTACACCGTAACGCTTTTAAGAAAATGTCTGGTATTTTCATAAAGCCGAAGCGAGTGGACGCCGGGGAATAGTCGCATAAATTGATCGGACGTCACAAAAGACGAAGGTCCACCGTGAAAAAGGAAAAACAACTGATACCACGTCCACTATTTCCACGCATACCTGTTCCCATTTTGCGATATGTTTATGAATTCCTCACTCGAATCAAATATATTTCACTAATAACCAAAAAAAAAATAAAAATCAAATCACTAGTCTTACGGACGCACAAATGGAGGGCAACGTAAAGACAGAAAGAAAAAAAAAAGATAATCCACAGCCGATTGATCGGTTTCTCACGGTTATGTGAGTTGCGATGACGTCCAAGTGGCGTTGGATGATTTTCCATCAAAACTGGTTGACAACTGGGTGGTCGTTTTGTAAAGTTCACCAGCAATAGATCCAAGTTATCGTCTGGTATCGAGTATGAGATTCTCAGTGGCTCCCATCGGTATCGGGGCACGATGAATCATCGTACTATTTGCTGTTAGCAGCTAGGAGTGGACTCGATGCACTCGTGTAACCCTGGCTGCACGTTGGCAACATAAATGGATTCATGTTGAATGTTGAACCAACTACGTCTCCTAGCCCTGTAACATGGCAACTGTTACGATTATACGTTAGTCGTTGGGGGCTTTTGTCCATACGTGGAAATTTGTATCGGGTTGAGTTAATCGAGCCAACTTTAGAGACATAATACAACTGCACATTACACCGGTAATAGGATATTCCACATGTGGTATTACAGCTGAGAGGAAAACTGCCATAACTGGTACCACCCAATCGTCAATCGTACGAGGGATACAGACACGTGCCGGCCTAACTACTAACTGCCCACGACGACAGTCCAGTGTACAACCAAGATTTACGGCACAACCGACGATGTACCATCGGGCTCTTTCCACCGATCAACTAAAACCTTAACGAGCACTATCGCATATATCAAAGTATCGGGGACATTTCACGATCTTTTCGTTTTTATTCACGTCTCGTTTTTTCTTTTCCTCTTTTTTTTTTCATAACGCTTTTGGACTGGACATCGTTATCGTGAATTTCGGCATCTGGATCGCTTCAAATTAACTCTCAATTGCTATCTGTATCCCGTTCACACGTATCCTCGCTTTTTGTACGGGTTTTTATGCATTACCGGTGGAATGGCAGTTATCGCTTTTTTTTGTGACGTGCAACATTAAATAGTGATAGCTGTTTTATCTGGGGAAGGAGTTGAAAACAGCATTTACCTCGAAACATGTAAAAGACGTTAAGTTTGGAGAAGAGATTGATGGGGAAATGAAAATAATGTCTCTACGATACGATACATTCTCAAAATTAGATATTCATAACAATACGTACATTGTAGTAATGTGAAGAGTGCTAGTTTGTTGTCGTAATGTCGTGGAATAGTGTGGGAAACGTTGTTTAGGCGATATTTACTGGGCAGCTGTGGCCAGGTGATGCTGTGTGGACCAGTGCGATGGGACTGAGGTGTTCGATGGTCGGACAACGGGGGCGAATGCACTCCCGTCACCGGACGAATAGAAAATGCCATACTGTTCGTGCGCTAAAATAAAAATATGCGTATAAAAAAAAGAAAGAAGAAAAAATCATGACATGCGATAAATTCAGCATCAACCGATAAATATCAAAGAAGCGTTGAAAGCTGACGTATGTTACGATTAAAGTGAGAGAGGTATAGGGTAAATAGTGACACTTACGTGATGTATAAAGGGTTGGACTGCCGGTGTATGGATTGGCTACTGAGTAACTGCCACTCGTACTGTGACTGTGCGGTGTACTTGCTGAACTACCGCAGTAACCACCACTAACAACACCACGTGGACTTGCGCTACTGCTCTGTCTGTATGTGTCGGCACTGCCGCCCACACTGCTACCACCACCTCCACCTCCACCCGCACTCACTGAACCACCGTCTAGAAATAGAAACCTGCCCGGTCAGAGGTGAGAACCCTTGTGAGTATCCCATCGTCCAATAATTTTTGCCTCTCATCAACAATCATGCACATTAGACTAGATTTAAAGTGCCCACTAGCGCCAAATGCCCGTTTTGTCCAAAAATTCTTTGCGTCATCGACTTCACTCGATTAACTGTGACTGTATAAAATAAAAAAAAACCTAACAATCATGCGGGTGTCATGCTAGAGGGTAGAGCTATTTCAGGGATTTAGTCTGCACGATGAGTTGAATTAACACGACAAATTATCATTACGTTGTACACAACTCTCAAACGTTTTTGAGATAGACACGCTGTTAGTGATGGTGTTTCCGCACCAGTGTTATGTCGTCGTGTAATTGGCCTCAGCTGTTTGGATAATAAACTCCATGAACACAAATACAAATATCTGATGAACTGGATTACGCGTTGGGGCGTTTATTTGACACGTCTGGCGAGATCGGCCGCCAGAATGGACAAATTTTAAACATGAAAAAAATGTGTGTTATTCAGTTATCAATAATTGGAACGAATCGTCAATGTTGAGGGCATGGAATTGGGAAACAATTTCTACAACACAGAATGAATAGATAATCGACATACCGTCCGTCCACTTGGCAGCACTGCCATTCTCCTGTACCGTGACAGCCAGCTGACCGGTATAAGAATTGAAAGCTGTACTGGAAGCAGATGTAGGTGGTGCAGGTGGATGACTCGAGGATCCCGGACTCCTGGGTGCGCCTGATATCGCTGTGTTACCAGCCCTTGGCATACTGTACAACGCTTCCGCCAAATCAGCAGCTCTCTTCAGGATTATCTCCTTGGGTAGCTTCTCCGGGTCACCCGGATGCCGTGGGATGAGCTTCTGCAACCTCGAGAATCCCCACTCGATCGTCGGCTCGTTCATAGCTGAAGCAGAATCAATCATCAATTGCAAATGATCATCGGTGATTAATTTGGAGGAGATTATTGACTACTCACAGACATAGACGAATCTACCGGGGGAGCCCTTGCAGAATTGTTTACTCTTGTAGGACAACGTCACTTCCACTACTCCTGGTATTTGTCGTGGTGGGGTTTGAACTCTTATTGCATGATCTGTTATTAATTCACTCCAGACGAGCATTGTACCGAAGACAACTTGGAGACCGTCGAAGAAGTGTTCACCGATTATTATCACAGTGGATCCACCCGTTGTCCACCCCTCACTCGGGGATATCGCTTTTATACAAGGGGTCTGCAGTGGCAAGGCTGGATACAAACCTGAAAGATCAAACGATAATTAACGATTACATTCGAATAATTGGTAATTGAAAATTGCCGATCTCCGGTGATTGTATCATCATCAGTCGAAAATATGTATTAAATTTTGTACCGTAAAATAGGAGAGAAAGAATAATGTGAATTTTCTGTTTATTCGGTCATGTGGCAGATATATATTTTACCATGTTGGCGTGTTCAGAGGTAAAATCGTGGAAAATCGTGGAAATGGCTGAGAGGAGGAAAGAGCGAGAAGAGAGGGTCGAGTGCAACGGGGGTAGAGTCAGAGAGCGAGGGTGAAGGGGGTGAGAGGAGGGGCTTTATAACAAGAAGGAAGGAGGAAATGGTGAGGATGGTGAGGATGGTGAGGATGGTGAGGAAGAGGGAAGAGAGCGGCGATCGGGCCAGGCAGTGTCTCTGGGCTTGGAATTTATAACCCAATGATATCATTTTGTACCCCGGCGCAAACCCATCCTCCCAACTACCACTCGAATACCCTCGTACCCAAACCCACCCCAGCAGTTGGAGGGTAGGAGGGCTACGAGCAGAGTGGCTGACATCATGGTATATTGCCTTCAGTGACGCTCAAACACTTTCCACCCCTTGTGCTCTCACTTGGATGTATAAACCACTGGATATAAATCACAGTCGCTTAACGAAACTACGAGTGTGCTCGTTTGTCTTTTAACCCACGTGCGGCAAAATGTAAATTGTTGCTTTCATCTTTCCACTCTCATTGTTCGGTATGACATTTTTTTTCTTCATCTAATTGAATTAATCCGACTTGAATTAAAGACGAATTGATGATATCCTGATGATTATTTCTTTGAGGGGTTTTGATGAAAATGGAGGAGAGTCTTAGTCTCGGCTGTTGACGGATTCCGAAGAATTATTTGGAGTTGATTTGCGGTGGAAACACGTCGCGTAATGAGTTTCCCTGCGTTTTGGGTTAACCTAGTAATTTGGCTCATCCCCTGGGACCATTGGTATTTATTGTGTTGTATACCACTTGGAGAAGAAAGTCGCTAAATACAGTATACGGTACACGTTGGTGGACCACTTCAACCGTTGAGAATTACCGGTATGAGGATGAGGACAACGAATTTTCTGGTGCCCTCGGAGTGGGTGGAGAGGACGGGATGATAAAGCAGGAATGAGGGGAGACAGGTCCTAGTTTGTGCGGACTGCTGTGGAATAAATAAAATCCCACTGTGGCAACATCGAGAGAGGATCTACATTTTTATACCATTTCTTGTTGCGTCTGTCCTACCCCAAAATCATTCCTTCGGCGAGTGCCGTGACTCACAATCACGATATGCTCCAAAATACCGAATAATCCGTTAAATAAATAATCAAAGTAAAGAATCATTTTTTAATCTAAAAATGTTTGCCTGTCACTCGATTTTTTCCAGTTCTCGCCTCAACAGATGGCGTGTATTGGTATTTCTGACTTTGAGGTTAAGTGAATTATAATTTCCCGCGCTCACGTGCATCACCAGTGGGAATTGAATAATAATGATAAAATCATGTGATCGATCCGACAAAAATCATGAATTACATGGGAAATAAAGGCCACCGGATTTGCCATCTTTGCACCCTGACATTTTGACGACTTTGAGGAGTTACTGTATCGCTGGGTATGACTGTCTCATTGGTATGCCCGTTTCAGCGTTTCGAGGGGTTCCCAAGAAAGCGTGATGGCGGTATATAGCACACTCCGCCCTTGGTTTTCCCCAACTACACACCTCTCACTCTTTCACCGTTATTTTCCCTTCAACCCTCTACCCCCTCGGAGATAGCTTAAACTTAGCATTCACAAACCAACGCGCGCGCACACGCTCCGTGTAGAAACTACCGTCGAGATGGAAAAAGGGGTGGAAAGGGGGATCTGAAAAGGGGGAAAGAGGGGGGGGGGGCAATTCCGCGGGTTGTGTCTTTGCGCTCGTTGGGCCCCGGTGAAACCAGACAAAAGGGCGAGCGAAAGAGCGAGGAGAGAGTTATAAGAGAAGGAGAGACATGGCAAAAAGAGGGAAAACTCGAGTGCTGTTAGAGATCGGTGGAGGAGGAGGAGGGAAGAGGAGGGAGGAGGGGGAGGAGGGGGAGGAGGGAGTCTTGGGTAGCTCGCGAATAGAGAATGGAATGGTTGGTATCCTTCGTTTTCACTCTACCCCCCTCTCCCCTCCCCATTGATTTACATCTTGTCTTGCATGAGGGAGAAAGAGTGAGATGGAAAATAGTATGTGGTAGGAGTGAGTTTTGAGAGGAGCGATATCAGCCGTTTGTATGCGCGGCCGACGCCAAACTTTGCTGAATTGCCCTATGACTTCTTATATCCCATTCTATCTCTCTCAGTCTTTCACTTTCGTATTCGGCCATTTTTTTTTTGCTTCGGTAGGGATGAGAGGGGATCGTTGAGTCTTTCGAATTGTGTTTTCTCTTTACTTCAATGGTCTAGTGACTTTGCAATGGAATTGAGATGTGAGAGACGCCGATGTAGATTCTGTGGTGGAAATCATCTTTTACGGCCTAGGCAGTGGGTGAATTTTTTTTTTTTTTTGTCTTGATTTTAATGGGTGGGTTTGGGGGAATTTGGAGATCCGCTCAAACTTGTTTATCATTGGTTATTATAATCACCTCGGTAATGCATCATTCCGTCCGCGGTGCAGTATATCAATTCTGCGAACACAATGAGATTAATTGGAATGATAAAGAAGTTTCAGCGGATCGGTTGTTTTTTTTTGTCTTTTCGTGATTCATACGGGCATTTATCCGGTACTTACTGTTGTATTCGCCGTGATCGCTGGGGTCTAGGCGTTTTGCTCGTCGTCCATGTTTACTGTTGTTATGTACGAACATGTTGTCGGAGATGGCCAGTAAAGGTCCGTCAACGACGACTTGCGTCGATATCACGACCTGTTGAATGTTCCAATATATTTAGTTATCGATTTGTCCTTTGAGATTCTGAAATTGAGATTCTGGTCATGATTTTTTTTGAAAATCACCACCATGAAGGTCACACCGAGGTTAAAACTTGGTTTTATAACCGTTATTTTTACTCCCTGTCCCACTGTAAATTACAATACCCATAATTCAAACGATATCTCAAATTATTCATTCTTCATTTAATTCATCTCATCCACCACTCGAGATTTTCTCCCCTTTTTTTCGTTGAATGATAAAACATTGAGTCACGGGCAACGAATACCGGTGACTCTCTTGAAAAATGAATGAATCGTACACGAAGTGGAAAACCCGCTGAAACTTTTTCGACCCTTCGTCGTTTTTATTTATTTTTTCACTGAAAAAACCGTTTTCCCTCTCTCTTTCACATCGAGAAGAGCAACTTGGCGACTAGTGTGTGTAGGATGAGGGAGGGAGGAGTGAGGGAGGGGAACGAGCGAGGGTAAAATTTTAATTCTCAACTTTCGGCAATAAGCAATTCCGGAAGAGATTCGGAAGTACGATAAATATTTTAATTTTCGGCCCGTGGTTTAACCGACCGGTGGAATAAAGAGAAACAAAAATTACCACGACGTACTTTACGCATGCATGAGTGAGGGGGTGAAAAGGGGGTGAGGAGGATGGGTGGATGACCTTCAGCCGAGGCCTCCGGTTTCTTCCAGTGGATTTTTCATATTACAGTCTTTTTTTTTTCTTCTCTCCTTTCTTTGCAATTCATTTTTTAATTTTGTCTTTTATTCTCACGTGGGTGAGGGGGTGTGGATGGGACTGCGAGATATCGTGGAATAGGGTAGCGGTAGTTTGAGAGGGATGAGGGGTTGGGGATGATGCCCGTGCTCCAGCTAATTGCCAACCTCCAGGATTACAAGTCCTGCATGGGGGCTCTCAACTCAGACGATTCTGTTCGCGGTTGCCAAGTATTTTTATTTTTTTCATCCCCTTCATCTTACACCCCAACGCTCAAAAGAAAAATGGTCATTATATTTTTCTCCAGACGAAATAAAAATCATTTCATCCCATTCAGCAAATAAATATTATCCCCCCCAAAAAAATCGTAATCAATAAATAAATTGAGGAAATACTGACCTGAAATCGTCGCATGTCCCGGGGATTGCCCGCGTTTTTCAAACAATTTTGATTGCACTTGAGGAAAAACTTGAGGAAAAATCTGGAACAGAAGGGAAAGAGATATAAAGAGCGATCCATTATTCTGGGATCATTTTAAACAGTTGACAGAGCACTTAACGCTCTTTACCTCCAAACAAAAACTTAATTAGTAGACCGGCCCCCCCGAGTCCACCCCCTCGTCGGAAAGCCCGACTTGAATACTGCATAAGCCAATCGGAAACCCCTCTCGTTGCCTACACCCGTTTTGTATTATTCAGCATTTCTCTAGATTAAAGCCCAGGCCACGTGGTAACGTCGACCTTTAGGACGGTACGAAGGTTCAAGTATCCTCTCCACTATCTTCTGCATACATTTAGATTTTCCAATTTCAATTGTGCCAGTATTTTTATTTTCAGTGTCATAAAAAAATCATCCCCCATGGCAAAATAGAAAAGCAGCTAAAATAAACCCGAGGGAAGATACCGTAAACGATTTTTAAAAACTCCGCCAAATGGCGTGCGCATTCCAAACAAGATGGAGATTGTAGAACGGACAAATCACTCCATAACCCTAATTTTCTCGATAAATTCAATCCAACGAATGACTTCACGAAGATCGCTGACAAATTTCCAATGCGATTTTACCGTGGATATTGAACATCTGGCGCCAGCAAACGTTTTCCAAGCCAGCTTTCCTCTCCGAGTTATTTTCAACGACACAAAATAGCTCACACCCTGCACTAGAATCGGCGAGAGTACAGAAGGTGCTAGAAGAGGAGAAAAATCTAATAGACCGATGGAATCGAGTTTTCTCCCTCCATCCACCAATAAGAAACTAACGCGATACTGGTAGTTGCTTCTAGCCCGATGGAAGTCTATCGCCCAGTGGATGCCATACCCATCGTCACCCTCTGGAATAAAATCCAGTTCGCATTTGAATCAGCCCTGGATAACGCAATCCATTAGATCCCCTAACAGCCAATGGCTCCAGTGTGATGCGAATATACAGAAGGAAACGAGACGAAACTGAAACGCTCCCGAGAAAACCATGAGAGCCCTGGGGTGTCACTGATCATTAGCGTAACCTACTACTTGACGTCGTTATTCCGGGAGAAAAAAATGGGGGTGGGCAGGTATTTCTATGATATCCATTCCCTCGGTCCATCAGTAAATCCCTTTCATCTCCCGTCTCAATGCACGTTGCGGAGGCAATCGCTCCTGACAGCTCCGGCTTAAGACAATAATTTTCGAAGGTCCTCGCTGCTCTTCCATATCAACTCGCATTACTTTTCGATAGAGTTAAATGAGATTGAGATGATGATGATGAAAAAAAAATGTCACGAATTTAATAATCCCTTAAAATTATTAGAATTTTCAAAATTTCGGCGCTCGCCCGCCCGCTCAAAAAAATATTTATTCAATAATTTGCAGACCTTTTATTTCTTCACTTGATTCGAAAATTTATCCAATAATTTGGAACCTCCCTTGATTTTCACAATGACTCTCAAATTTTTTTTTAAATACGATACTTGCAATTCCGAGACAACCCGACGGTTTCCGGGGGACAACTCCTGAGCAATAGCCACTTGGAGAACTCCAGTTATCATGGAATTGTTGTACACCTCTAACACCTACCCTCACGAAATCCAAACAACAACCCTGAGGAAGAAGGAGGGGATGGTGGAGCCCCCCGGTATGTCCTCTATCTCCAGTTGATGGGGTTCCCCGGAGTGGGTGTAATGCCGCCTGAGGCCGTGCCATAGAGTAAAATAGCGCCGGGGTGAGGGGGTATCTGGGAAAGGGGGAGGATTAAAAGGGGGGTTGAAGATGGTAGCAAACGGAAACTCGAGTCACGCTCACTACCCGCCGATCATCCCCTCCGATAAGGGTATGTTGCACAATAGCCTTTGAATACTCATCCAACGGCTTGGATAGTCATCTTAACTCGCTTTTCTTCAAACGGAATGAGTGAATTAAATTCAACCGTCGAAGAGATAACTCGTAAACAAGAGTTTATGCCGTGTCTTACAGGCTGAATTTCTCTTTTTATATCAAGAGATGAGCGAAAAAAAAAAAAAATGGGATACGTGCGGGGGTTTGATTCTCAAGCCCGTGTACTCTCGCACGGGGGATGACAATGGCCTCCCGAGGGAGGTGAAGCCTACCCCAAGTCGTGGTAAAAAAAAAAATTCACCCTCTCGGATGTATTCCACATATCTCAGTGTACTGATTGTTTCCAGCGCCTGTTTCACGATCTCCACGTGTGTTATGTGGATTCGTTCCGATACAACTCTTCCGTTTTCTTATCTCATATCTCTTTTGCTCAGTTTTATCCACCCCTCCCTCCCCCTCCCGCCGTAAAATTGACTGAATTCAATGTAAGAAGTGAGAACTCGACGTTTTATGTCTTCAAAAGGGAATTTATTCAACAGCAAACCGTTGATTTCGCACATATCCATTTTCGAGGTGATAATAAAAAATGTGAGGGGGTGGATAATGGTTTTTTTTTTAAGAAAGAAAGATAAAGACTGAGTGACTCCCTAAATATCGACTCGATGCCCTTCAATTTATCCTCATTTTTGGTTGGTGGAGGTGAAAAAAATTGAAAGGTCGTAAGCAATTGGCGACTGCTAATTGGTACAACGCAGGTACAAATAAACTGGTGTGCGAGGGTGGATGATTTATTGCAAGGTTTGATTGAATTGGCTTCGAGTATTTGGCGCACGTACTGCTAACCGAAACTCCCGTCGATATTTAACGCCGAAAACCTGTCCAGTCCTGCGTACACAATTTTATTCCCCGCACTCGACTTTTTTTTTTCAGTTTTCATCCACGTCACTTGGTATTTCTCGTTTTTGTCCGAGGACGACAATTGAATGCACGGCAATTCGCTTTTTTCTCGATTTTATTCAATTGCCCGTAAATAAAGGAATTATTGACGATTTTGGTTGACAGCCAGGACTCGTGAAAAAGATGTGGACATAATCCGAGGGCTTCCTATCAAGTCCCAAGAGAAAAAAATAACTTAGGACTTGGCGTTAAAAAAAAAGCCGTGAAACCTCGCAATTCCAATGGAAAACTCTTCCCCTCGCCACATCAGCGAAATCCGAGCGATAGGCGTGTCTGATCGGACTAATCACCTATTAATCCACTCCACCCAACATCTCCATTCACAGAATCTCCCATATCCAATTCCGCCCTGCCTCACACCCAGAGCTCGAGCAAAACCGTTATCACCAGTTCCGAGAATCACCGAATAAACACCATCCCCAGGTCCTCCGTAACTCGCCAATTTAAAGGACAACCAACCTGCTGAACCGCTCCTAAGGTATTGATAGAGTCGCTGTTACTTCGACATCTGATTACCGGCTACCCCACGGGTTCACCACAGGAATCAACCGAAATGCATAATTAACGATACCCAAGACGTCAATTAATAAGAATGTGTACGAAGGTCCGTAAGGGAATGTTGAAAGTGAGTATGTACGAAACACTGTGTGTATTGCCTCTTGCCATACACGTCTCAGGGATAGACTTAAAGCTGAAAGAGGGATGAAGGGGGTACTAAGGGGTTAGTAAGGTATCAGGGGATGTTTAATGTTTAACAAGCCTCCATTACGGCCCCTTTGCCTTCTTGCTGGGAGCAACCCCTTGGCATCCTGCTATTCGTCGCTCTCAGGATCTTTCCGGAAAGTGCTGCGGATATGGGAAACAAAAAGGCCTTGAGAAGATTGCTGGAGTGGAGGGGGTAACAGTGTGAATTATGGCTTTTTGCATTATATTTTTCGTATGATATTTGAATAATTATTTTAAATGCAACCAGCATTGAATCCACCACCCATCAAATCGTCGCTCAATATTTCTGCAAGATCATAGGTCATTTCCTCAAGGTCATTCCATCCTTAAACTCTTTAATCTTGGTTGTGAGGATTAAATAGGTCGGGCCTCTTGTAATATCCCGAGGAAGAGAAAAGGCTGGAGGTATTGAGAGCGCTAGGCTATAGTACTCCACTCCATAATTCATAGCTGAGTAATACGTCTTACCGAGGGTGTATGTGCGCCTGGTTGGTTTCTGGTGTGGCCACGGCCCATGGTCCAGAGATAGAGTCTATTCCCTCCACCAGCCCCACGATATCTAACCCTTAATGGCAGTCTATCACATTAGCCGAGAAGACGGGCTACTGACTGCACTAGTTGGACTAACTAGATTTGGCTCTAGTCGTGTATATCAAACTAGTACTCAACGATTTACCACGGTATATTGCCCCCCACTTAGTGCCAAACATTATTAAACATTTAACTAATGATCAGATTCATTGACATATAAATGTCAACAAGGAATTGCTTTATCGGAATTTAAGTGAATGGGATTGATGGAGTGAGAAAAGTAACTGGAGCAGATGAACGAAAATTGGAACACCATTTTGTCATGACGATTGCACGATTCGGATGCAATCGATGGGATTAATGAGTATCAATTTGTATTCAAACATCACCGGCTTGGGGTCTAGTGAATTTTGCAGTCTGGGGTGATATTGTTTACCTCCGGAGTGATCGGTCGTCTTTTTTTTTTTTTATTTTCAACCCTCCAGGAGGTGGAGGTACCGGTGCTAGGGCACGGAGGACATTAAAACAACCGGTAAGATCGAAAAGAACCGATCGTAGAAATTCACGCGGCCACCATTAATACTACAGCAATAAAGCTGTCCGGGAAAAGCACAAGGGTGTGGATGTAGAGGGTGAGGATGGGTGAGGATTAAATTCAGTAGCGCTTTTACCCGGATATATCCGAGACTACGTGACGCGAACCAGTGGAAAATTGTGAAATTGCCCGGTGAATTATCTCGAGTTTGCCCTGCGGCGTATCATCCCCTCGTGCCGCACCCTTGGACGAGAGACATTTTGAGATTCCTACGGCATTTACATAAACGCATCGGCAATGATATGAATTAACTTGACTGCAGTTGAGTCGAGAGGGATGTGGATTGATGATGATGGGACTGATGATGATGGGACTGACGATATTTAAGTACCGATTTAATTATGTATTTATTTAAATACC